CTTAACTAGTATGATCTATTACGACTGCGACTACAATCACAAGCTTACGGTCCCAATCTGAGGACAGTCGAGCGCCCATTGCCAGTTCGCGATCGGTAAAGTCGTGGGTATCTTACACGCTCACCTTAGACTAGACACGTGTCTTTTTATTTTCATCAGTTTGGGTACCGCAGTACGACTCGGAGGTTCGTCTCTACTACTACTAGCATGTCGCCGACACTGGAGTTCACTCTGGAAGGGTTTAGTCCGATTGGCACCGGGATTTATCTCCGGGATATCCGTGAGCAATGCCAGGATACTGCATCACCAAAGTGAGTCGGTGTCTGTTATTACTTATAGCATGATAGCTGACCGGGCATTCCTGTAGCGTCATTTTGATATTCGGATGGAGTAAGCGCTTTTATTCTTTGCGTTCTTGAAGTCTTATCTGACAAGTTGTGTCCACAGTGGGAGCAACAACTTAGGCATTTGCAGAATTATACCCATGTATACACCAAATTATATCCAAACGCGTCTCAAATCGTTGTTCGATGCAATCCCGACGTCTTCTGGACTACCACTAGGACTTCGGTGAGCACCACACATTAATTGCTCGCCGTTGTCTTGTCGCCTAACACAATCAAAGCAACGGCGCCTCGTACCTGTTATTGATGCCTTAGAAGCACTGCATTGCTTGCCATCTTCCTCTCCTACCCAACGGCCTCCCCGCATACTCACTCACGCATTTTCCAATGGTAAGTTCACCCAAGTTGAACTTGAAACAAGCTAAACCTTGTATGGCAATATCAGGAGGTTCCCTGCAGATGACACTTCTTGGACATATGCTGCAGCGGAAATATGGTTCTGCATCAGTTCAAGGGTTATTCACCAGCGCATTGATCCTTGACTCATGTCCAGCAGTGGGTAACCTGAAAACAATCAAACTCGCTTTCACCGCTGTCGTCCGGAACCCAATTCTCAGATTTATCGTGCTCACCGCTATGTACACGCTGCACTTTATCGGCCTCGGCTTCTCTCTGCTGTTCGGTAAACGAGTGATGTTGATGGAAAACCTCCGGATCGAAATGTGGAATTCCCGCATCCTACCATGGATGGGCCTCCACACACCCCGCCTCTACCTTTTCTCGCGCAAGGATAAATTGATTCCGTGGCAAGATGTCACGAAACATGCTGAGACTGCGAAGGAGCGCGGAATGGATGTACATTGCGAGCTGTTTGAAGAGAGCGACCATGTAGCACACATCCGGATCGAGCCAGAAAGGTATTGGTCTTCGGTACAGAGCGTTTGGGCGGTCGCAATCTCCAAGGAAAAGGACAAGGATTAGAGGATACATCACTGATTATAGATTTTTGTCGGAGGATCCGCCTTCTTTCATGTCTAGATGATCCTAGAATGATTCTTTCCGAGGATTTTAAGAATCTTGAGTTGGTCATACCTTTAGCTAGTGTCCCTAGAGTATACTCACGAATAGCTCATTGTATTTTAGGTATAGATTACAATGTACAGATGCGGCCTGATACGAATGAATTTATATTATAATTTCTTGTGATGCTAAAAAATGTCATGATATCGAGTTGCTCTCATTTATGTCCACACCCAGGCTGGGCTCGAGGGAGTGCAAGGTCGCGCGGAGGTCTCAGATGCGGCGGCTAAAGGAAACTATGACGCTGCCGAGCTGGTGGAGCTTGAGACATCCTCGCCTTGCCTTTCTCCTTGGATATTGCGACCACCCAAACCTCCTGTACCAAAGACCAATACCTCTCCGGCTCGACCAAAGCGTGTCTTACATGTCCACTCTCTTCAAACAGCTCGCACCGGACATCCATTCCGCGTTCCTTCGCAGTCTCAGCATGTTGCACGACCTCTTGCCATGGAATCAATTTATCCTTGCGCGAGAAAAGGTAGATGCGGGGTGTGTGGAGGCTCATCCATGGTAGGATGCGGGGGTTCCACATATCGGTCTGGATGCCTTTGACTAACATCATGTCCTTACCGAACAGCAAAGAGAGGCCGAAGCGGACAACGAACACCGTATATATGAAAGTGAGTATGATGGATCTGAGAATTGGGTTGCGGATGGCACTGTTGAAAGAACGTTTGAGTGCTTTTAAGTTGAGAGCCGTTGGGCATGAGTCGAGGATCAGTGCGCCAGTGAATGACCCGTGAACTGATGCAGAACCATATTTCCGCTGCAGCATATGTCCAAGAAGTGTCATTTGCAGGGAACCTCCTGATATTGCCATACAGGTTTAGCTTGTTTCGAGTTCAACTTGAGTGAACTTACCATTGGAAAACACGTGAGTAAGTATGCGGGGAGGCCGTTGGGTAGGAGAGGAAGATGGCAAGCAGTGCAGTGCTTCTAAGGCGTCAATGACAGGCATGAGACGTCGTTGCTTTTGATTGTGTTAGGCGACAAGATAACGGCGAGTAATTACATGTGAGCTGCTCACCCTAGTACTAATTGGAATCCAGAACATGTCGGGATTGCACTGAACGACGATTTGAGACGCGTTTGGATATAACTTGGTATATGCATGAGTATAATTCTGCAAATGTCCAAGTTGTGCTCCCACTGTGAACGCGACTCGTCAGACAAGGTCTACAAGTACGCAAAATTTGAGGGTCTTACTCCACCCGAATATCAAAATGACACTATAGAGTGCTCTGTCAGTTATCTAGCTGACTGATGCATACCCGACTCACTTTGGTGATGTAGCATCCTCGGAGTCCTGGCATTGCTCACGGATATCTATCCCAGTGCCAATCACGCTGGACTCTTTCAGCACGCGAACTCCAGGTGTCGGTGACATGCTTGTAAATATGAGCCACGAGCTGATAGGCAACTAGTACCCAAAAGAAACCCGACGAAAAGATAACGGCACGTGTTCAAACCTAGACTTTGACTATCTCCTTCGATTGGATTGGCTGGCAGTGTACAAGCGCTGAAGCGCTATTTACACATTCAGGACAGTGACAGCGCCAACATTCGAGTCTAAGTGCAACGCAGCCTCCTTCCTTGTCGTAATCAAGACATGTCCGATTCTCGCCGTAATTCTTCCATGATGACTTGACCTGCGGTTCACTTGAACAATCCAGGACAAGGCGGCGGCTACAAGTGTATCGTGAGATTGCGGGATAGGCATGTGTTTCCGGGAACGTTCGAAGATATTAGGCCGGCAACCGAATAATCTCCTGACTGCACCCAGACCGCAGTCCCGTATGGACCAGGCACCATGCCGGTGCATCGTAGGGCCCCCCGACGTGGGGTGATGATTTCGGTGGTCATAGAAGGAGGGAAATTGTAATGCGGCCTGTCGACAGCGGTGTCATTGGACGTGATCATTGGACTCAAAGTCCAGAGTTGAATTTTGAGCGTGGATGACCACAGGACATCATTCTTCGTGCGTACAAGTATCAACAGCGGCTGCCCTTTCATTCCCGAAGGGTCCTCGGGCGAAGATGGCGGAACAGAGACAAAGATACCATCCACCCAGCCAAATGTGCTCTTGGGATACCGGTGATGGATGCATGTGCCGGGATGTGGTGCTAATTTTGGCTCCGCAAATTCGGAACGACAAGGATGGTTCCAATGCCGCGACGGTGCCGCACTGCAGCTGGTTGAAGCTTCGAAGGAACACATTAATTGTAAACACGTTACGAAAGCGCCATATCTGAGATCTGATAATCTGAATCGGAACACATACATATAGTACATACTAAACAAAGCCAACTATCGATTTCAAAGAGCATGGACATTGCATGGTGATCAAACAATTGAACGCTCGAAAATATCATAAGGAGCAGTAACATTCATTAAGAATTATGTCAAGCTGACCCCTCCAACATAATCTCCTCGAGCTTGTACCTTCTCAAGGCAGCATGATAGTTGATATAACCATGGAAGAAACTGACGTAGGCGTCATATGCCTCAGGACACAATATGCTGTAGCCATAATGCATTAAATCTGGTACTTACCACACAACCGTATTGCATTAACACTGCTTGCTAGCCTGTCTGTAATGCATTAGAACATGCTAGCCATCAGAGCTGCCTCCCTAGTAAGCTCGCGCAGTACACTGGCTGTCCGCATATGTATTCCTGTCCTCCGGTAACTATATATTGGCAACTACATATTTTTATTCCCCGGCAACTAAAATCTGGAGACAGAAGACCATTCATTGCAACGAAGCGCTAGGCACGACAGAAGATTAATTACACTACAGAAGGTCAACTATACTAGGCACATGAAGCAGGCAGCATGAGGTCGGGGAATTGCGTGTCATCCAGTGAGGGTATGGCGCCTGATATGAGGCTCGAGCTTGGAGGGGATATCTGGGGAAGGTACGGAGCCCACAGCACTCTAAAGCGTGATGCAAGCTGACATTGAATGTGTGCCTGTTTGTTAGCATATGCTATCAAGCCCTCGCATTGAGCCGCTGTCTCACAGACGAGTCGGTCCTGCTGCTCGTCCCACCAGTTGGCTTGCCAATCGAAAAACTGTAGCACCCTTCACATCTCTGTTAGAGTCCGAACGATCTGAGGGATCAGTGACGAAGAAAACCGAACGATCCGAGATAGTAGAAGAGAAAGAGTGATAAGTCCGAGCCCAAGCCAAAAGGGACTTTGACGAGCGACACACTGACGTCGGCTCGTGTCCTACAATATGTTTTCCTTTTCTGTTCTGATATATTCCGTTTCTATACAACTTACTATATAAACGCCAGCAGTAGCACGAGTGCATCTCAGCTTCTTTCAAGAGACTGAGATGTGAGTTATTAGTATCCTTATATCGATTAGAAAACTAAACTGACAAGTCATTAGTATACTTGTTTTATTAGGTACATAGCTCGCTATACCGAGCTTCTTTCAAGAGACTGAGATTATACTTGTTTTATTAGCGTGCGGTCAGCTCCCACTCGTTATAACTCACCATAATCTCCTCCTGTAACAATTCTATCTCCTCCGCCCAGCACATTGCTCTTGCTCGGGACTTGCACCATTCCACGTGAACTCCTAGCAAAAGATTCAGAGACCACTGTCAGTAACAGCTCATAAAGATCAAATAAAAACTAACCATCCACGTCACCTCCATCGCTACCTGTATCCACACCCGTCATCATCCAGATCCACGTCAGGCGATGGCGACCTTCAGTCTCTCTGCTGAAAGGGTCCACTAATGGTTTCATGTCTTCGTCCTTCAGGTCTTGCAGGCGTCCTCGCCATCCCACCTTCTTCAAGAGGGGTGCCAAGGTCTTCAGTGCCTCCCACGCAACTCTGTATCTCTTCGTGCATGCCACCTGCCGCACGTGGACACGAGCAAGTGCATTCTGAGCACGGGTGTTGGCGCCTTGACCATGAACCCACTCCCGCTTGAACGTAAGCATAGAGCAGTGCACGCGAAGGCACTGTCGAAGCTCTTTGAGTGCATCGTGGGCCTGTGCATACCGCAAATCCCATTCATGATCTCGAAGTCGGGAATCACATGGTTTGCCTTTCAGATTAGACGGTAACCACAGGCGGATGTCCTCAGCACTCTCAAATGGCTGACGAGGGTCAGGAACCACAGTAGTGGTGAGAATCTGCACTGCAGGCATGTACAGAACCTGTGCACTTCTCTATGTCTCGATTTTACGACGCAGGACATTCCTCATTCGTGTGAGTGTGCCCTTCTGCGTATCAGAAATGTGGAGACCCATCCCTTCGGATACTGCTCTCACACGACGTCTGTCCCAGGTGTTAGTTGCCTTCGTCTGGTAGCATTTAGGTAAAGCTACTTACTGCTCCTCCTTGAGGTCTAATCCTGACGCGATAAGAACACTTGGTGAGATGTCGGGGTGCAGAGATAGGTCAATTCCGTGAGCGAGTTCTTCAGCTTCCATCTGCGCAAGTTTTAGACGGGCTGCAGCTTGCATAATTTCTTAATAGATGCTTCAGTAAATATAATTTGAATAGTAAGACAAAACTTATGGATCGACTTGCACTCGAGGGGGTTAGTGAGTGACGTGTCATTCGGGGTTTCCTCCCATTTCTCCATCTCGACTGTCCATGCTGACCTGTGGTCAGGGGAAATCGCAGCATTGAACTCCTGGAATGCAGCCTCATGATCAGCCTTCTCAATGACAGCTTCCTGCATTTTATAGGCGAGAGATGCGCCTAATCCCAAAAACATCAACCAAACAAGAATAATAAATGAGTGTAAACCACATACCTAAGCTGACAACTTTTTTCCAGTTCCAATCCCTGAAATGATTGTCTAATGTGTCCCTACGACAGCCAGGTCCCATTGCTTTCGTGCTTGATGCGACCGGATTTATATTGGACCAGCCACATTCGGGCGCCTCCCCATCTGTACGGCCCACAAAACGCGCGAAATTGAAAGAGAACAATGTCTGACACTTGTTGACGTGTGCCGGAAGGTGGAACTTGGGGACGAAGAACTGAATAAAAATACACAAATAAGATATATGGTATGATTCAGATAGTGACTTCATGCGACTCCATAGATTCTTGTGCCATTGACATGCAATGTCATATGACACGTTCAGAATGTTGAGACAGCTGTTGCGGAGTGTGGAGAAAAAAAGGTAGTCCATGTTAATGTACCTAAGAATCAAATTAGTCAGAGCAGCTTCACAAGTGACACACGTACTTTTCCCCTTTTTGTAGGTCCCCGACACCATTTGGGCGCTTGAAGTTATGTTGCGCGCAATCAACTGTCCCTACTCCAGTAGCTGCAAGGCCCTGTGATAGCTTTGTCTCAGCCATATTCACGGCATTATGGTTCAAGCAGGAACTTTTCTGTGGAGGTGTTGTCAGTGACATCTTGGACCAGGCTGTTTACATACCTCCTGTGTCTCGGACAAATGCTCCTTGAGGTGCAACTTGAACTTCTTCTCTTCTACGAAGTATGACCATCCCTCTGAGAGACTTGGGTCCACTTCATCGTTGGAAATATTCCGTCTCTTCAAGCGAAAATTGGCATCAATAGCTATGAACAACGAATAAAGCCATCTAAGTGCAATTAATGCATTGCTTCATGTTCGAAAATGACGAGAGACTTACTGCTTGGCTTTTGGCGCTTCTTTCCAGTCAGGGGGTAGATTCTTGCCAGGCTGTGGGCAAGCCGGACAGAGGACGGCACATTCGCCCTCTTTGGTACCACTCACACCGACTGGATCATGACCATGGCCAAAATGTTTCAACATTTTTAGGTGTCGCCACTCACGAACCATATACATGAAGGATTCATAGCGGTCCTGAATTAGAGGTACTTTAGTTCATGCAAGATCAACCCAGAAATACGCCAACCTTCTTAATCAAACCAACATTGTTAGATATATGGACAAGCGAGTGATAGAATTCATATGCGGATGCCTTGGACTCAAAAGACAAAATCTGGTAATGGTGTAATAGTCGGAAGGTTGCCGCTGTCCTTGGATCCACAGTTGTTGAGGGAAACCAACCCATGCGCAAGAGCTGTTTGGTATGAGTCTGGGAGGTTTCACAGCCACAGAAGTCAACCGCCATCTCGTGTATTCCGTTTGTATCAATGAGGATGAAGTTGTCATTGAATGACTTGCAAGGCAGGATACAGCTTTTGCCAGTCGCGTGCCCCAGCTGGATCCTCAGACTGAGCTTCTTGAGTGATGTAGCTTATGAAAAATGACCCCGTCCACTCCTAAAGTGAATCAACTCTTGACTCAGCCACTCAGAATTAATACAGACAAACCTTGATGCAATGAGTGGGACACCGCAAATGGTTGTAGACAGTGCAGTCTCCGCAGTATAGCTGCATGTCACAACAGTTGTCACATCGGAACAGGGCGGGATCAGAGCCACATTGGCAGCAAGTATCCGAAGTATAGTCCCCTCGGCCATCCATCCGAAGCATTTCTGCCAGATAGTTGTCACGACCGCTTAACCACACTAGAAGGGGATTATCCTACAAATAAAATCAGTGAAGCAAAATTATGACCAGCAAACACTTACAGCCATGGTCCATTTTCACTTTGATGTAGCCAGGACATCATCAATTGCATCCATGTACCCATCCATGTACCCAAAATCGGCTTCATCTCCAGCCCCTTCAGAAAATGCGTCAGATTCAAGGTGAGAATCAGATTGTGATGCGCGTAGAATGTGCCGGTGGGAAGCCTTTATTCTACCCTTAGGGCATGAGGAGAAAGTTACAGATGTGTAGTAGACGGAAGGTAGAGAGCTGGCTTGCGGAATGTACGCATTTAAGTGTGTGCGTTTGCGACAGCCGTTATGAGACATAATGTTGGGTGGCTGCACTGATTGAAGCCCTCGAAGGGCGATGAGTAGACACTGAAGTTATTGTTTATTTGGAGAATCCAGGAATGGTATAAGCACATCGTGCAATTATGGAAGCAATACTGGGAGTAGGCACTATGTAGTTGCTACTAGTAGTTGTTTACAATTTCCACTTCTCCCTTCTCAATTGCCAGCCTGACCTTTTCCTCACCGATGGTGATAGTATCAACTTCCTCGTAATTGGCATTACAGATGCCCAGAACGGCATTTAGAGTGTGCTCCCTAGTGTAGATTTATATAAAATCCATCTAATGACCAGAGAGTACTCACCAGCTGGGTAACACACCCACCACATTGCCACGGGTGACGCAGTAGAAAGGTGGGTTCCAAGGGGTTTTCTTGCTACATGCCGGGATGTTATAATATACCCCCAGGTAGTGATGGAGAAAACATTCGTCAGCCATTGCGCTGGCAGCAAGAAGGAAACCAGTAGTGTGTTCATGGACAGCGACGATCTCAGGGTATTCTGCAGTGGAAGGCGCATTGTCAACGAATACGATTATAGTCATAGTGGTATACATACTTAGTCGATGCTGGAGTTGTTATATAGTGGTGAATCACCGGGAAGGTCGCCAGAAGCCAAATTCTGCTCGGTGGACAACCATAGTCATAGTGGTATATGTACTTTCACCAGGAAGGTCGCCAGAAGCCAAATTCTGCTTGGTGGCTCAAGGGTGATAGCCTAAATAGTCGAGTAGCCTGAAGCTTGAAGAACAAAGCCTGCGATGTGTCTACATGATGGATGAAAGAACATCGCACAAAATAGGGAATTACATTTCATACTCCGCAGATTAGGTACTTGATTCACAAATTGAACTTGCAAGCGTCAGCTATATGTATAATGCAGGTGAGTTGCAAGTTTCTAACGCTCAATATACAGGTCCTACTCAACAATGACCTCCTCTGGCACTGATAGTCAAGTGCCTGCGGCGCCCATTGCTAGTCCTTCCAGCGGTGGTGTGTAAATACATTTGTTATTCTGTCTTTTCTAATGGTTGGTTTAGATTCTTCGACGGCACTCTTTGCTCAACTAAACATCAACGGCAACAATGTGGTCTCATTGACCTCTGCCCTGTCTGTGGTCGTACAAAACACAGTCATTGTGACTATTCAGGAAGTGGCTGCTGCCGCTCCAGTAGTCACCATTGCAGCTCCTACTGCATCACCTGTCATCGACTCGACGGTCACTGTGGCATCTACTGCAACTAATTCCACCCCACCAGTAACTACCACACCCCCAGCCATTGTCGCTGCTACTGTAACTCACACGCAGGCTCATTGTGGGGTGATTTATATCACTCCTGAGCCAAATTCCGCTGGCCCTTTCTACTGGATCAGCCGTGGGCGTCACATTGGTGTTGTTGCGACTTGGTGAGTGGTATTTTGACTTCCAGACTTTTTCTGATTAGTATTACAGGCAGTGGACATCCACCTATGTGACCGGGGTGAGCCGTTCATCCTATTCCAGAATTCGCTCTGCTGCCGAGGGGATTAGATTGATTGAGGAAGCGATTGACTGTGGGGATACCGAAGTAATTCCTTGAATACGTAGATTTCTTGCTCAATGTGTAGATGTTAGTACCATGTATGAACGCTTCTCTCGACTGGTGAATCATTTTGAGATTAATGCTGGCTGCTCGCACTGGGAAATCGAAATGTTGGAACACTTCAAATATAAACTCCTCGGATGAAACTCCTCCCTGCTTGTCTAAAGGGTTTCCATAATGGATTGACAGTGTTGGGAGAATAGATGAGTACTCAGTTCATAGTAGACAAGATATTGTAGCATATCAGAAATTAATAACACAGAAGATGGTGGAGACTGCAGTCTCAACATATCATGGCAGTCATAACACATCAGGAAAAACTGTATCTCTATATAGAGGACCATCCTCTATATAGCCCCGATAGCACACCACAGCTCTATACAGTCTATCGCAAGCTATCACAGCGCTATAGACCAGTATAGACATCATGAAAGTCTATATTACCATAAAGTTTGGTAAGTGTATTTAGAAGTAAAACATTTCAACAACTATAGACCCCAGTAGACTGTGGGAACTTTTTTCGATGAAAACCAAAGTTGTAGTCCTTGTCAAGGGAAGTCTATCCATAGTCTAATGACTTCAATAGGTCAAGATCTTAGTGAGTTATAAGGAAAATACTTGGAATTGAAGGGTTCAAAAGTGTTAAGGTACACCTTATTTATGTAAGCAAAAATGCGAAAATTCACCTTATGTGTATTCAAAATCCTAATGCTAACAGTCAATTTCATTGTCTTTTTCTTACTGTCATAATCCTAGTCCTAATAAGCAAAAACTCGAAAATTCACCAAGTCTTGTGTTGTGGCTTTGTTTGGCACTGCTTATGTAAGCAAAAATGCGGTCAACCAACAAGTCTTTTCCCATTCTTTCCTTCCCCCCCACTGCCCCCTCATTAGATTATCTTCCATATTTCTCTTACAATTTTCGAGTTTTTGCCTCTCTTCTCTTCTTCTTGCTTCTCTATCCTTCTCTTGGTGTTGATGTTGTTGGTGCTGGTACTGGTGCTGGTGCTTTGAACTCTGGTAAGTCTCCCTCCATAATTTTCGCATTTTTGACTATTTGACTAATCTTTTTTCTAACCCTCTCCTTCTAGCTCTCTTCCCTCCTGCTCCTCCTCCCCCCAACTATTTTCGCATTTTTGACCATTTGGCAAGTCTTTTTCTCTGACTCTCACTTCCTCCTGTCTAATCCTCTCCTTCTAGCTCCCTTCCCTCCTCTTCCCTCAAGAATTTTCGCAATTTTCACTATTTGGTAAGTTCTTTCCTCTCTGATTCTTCCTTCTAGTTCTCTTGCCTCTTCCTCCTGTAATTTTCGCATTTTTGCCTGTTTTGTAGTTATTAGTTTACATGTATTGTAGCAGTTGAAATATAATTTGGAATTTTCGCTTTTTTTAATTTTTAATTTTGAGAACACTATCATGGCAACAAACAGCTATTAAGAGAAATTTTTGCTTTGTGTTTTGAGCTATAAGAGCTACAATAGCTACAATAGTTGTGGTATGTTCCACCCAGCTATAGCAACTTTAATAGAGCTATATAGCACTATACACTGGTGTAGTAAGCCTGCACAATTGGGCACTTGGCTATATGAGCTATAGGGCTATGAAGTCTGTATAGCAGTCTATAGTGCTATGGGTGGCTATATAGCCTTACCACATTTTCCTGATGCATCGAAACCAGTTGCTTGACGGTGATGAAATATCAACCGATATAATGATTATGCGTGCACATATGAACTCTCAAATAAACGAGCGTGTTTTGAGTCGCAGTCTAAGGACATTGCCTGAATCATCTAACCAAAATCCTGTTAAAGTTGTGTTGTGAGCTCAACACACCTCAAGACTGAGTATCATATGTATGAAGTCTCTGATTGCTGAATGTGACTGGAGCAGTTTGCTGTGTATTTTATTAGAATGACCTCGTTTATATGTCATATGAGATGTTCTGAACCAAAATCTCCTATAAATACCATGTTGCGTGAAACCAGCTGTATTCTAGTAGAAAAGACTATAGTTAAATTACTGGGAACAACGATAAGAACGAACTTGAAGCAGCAGACGAAACAGTGAGTGAAGATGTGAGGGGCCAGCAGGATAAATTGAAGTTGCTCATACTGGTGTTTGGCTTTGCACCCAAGTTTGTGTTTCCATAACTCATCGTCGTTGTGCCTCATTTACTATCCAAACACGGTGAACGATGGTGTGTCCCCTCATCTACAACACACCTGAGGAGAAGAAGAAGAATGCAGCTCGAGTTTACAGAAGGACGTATTATGAAAGGTCTGGCATTGCTAATACATCTAAGCTGGGCAGCGCTGACCCATTTATACAGGAAGAAAGAGGAAATCAGCATCAAAATGGCAGCCAAGTACCGAGCTAAAAAGATGGTCAGCCAAGTCATGGATTCTGGGTGTCAGGTCTTGTCCTCTGCATCAGGAGGACACACGCAGATTCCGCCAAAGTTATCGTGAGTTTTAATTACTGTCACTTTCAACAGCTCACCCACAACTCAACCACGTTCTTTTCAGCCACTTAACCGTCAAGAAACTTTCACACCCTGTAATGTACTTCTACATCAATTCTGAGCAATATCATATACTGAACACCTCATGTTCTCCTAGTTGTGGTGTCGATGTCGCCGAGGCCAGCCTCCTGACTTGTTTGATATTCAACACACTGTACACACAGATGATTCGGGGCCTCGGGGACCAACAGATTGTCCTTGCAATGCTTTCGGATCGTCTGGAAATACTTGAGTCCATTCAGGAATATGTATGGTCATCTCATGGGGGGAAGTCTCGTTTCTCCGCTGCAATCACAGAGCGTCTCAGTAATCTGTCTCATCGATGCAAATTGGTGACTGCTGCCACCAAAGAGCTCTGGTGTTATGCAGCTGTAAGCGAGATAGATGCGGAGATGCTTACAAAATTCAGCCGAGGATCATTGCTATTCCAATACTTGTGACACCGCTTCAAATACAATGGTATTGAGAGTTACTTGTTTCAGTCGCCGTCACAATTACTCAAAATGTGAACTTCCTTGAAGCATTTGCCTGAACTGCAATAAATAGGCGTCGGGCAGCTTCATGCCCCAACTCATCTCAATCAATTTCTGCGTCAGTAAGTAATGCAGTCCTTGTGCACGTTGTTGCTGAATTGAAGGCAAACAGTCCTTACCGACGAAACCTCTTCCCCTCCAATATATCCAGGAGCAATTCCTTCTGTCTCGCTTGGATGAATTCTTCGCGATACGCAATCCGTCTCAACGGAGTTATTTCTTCAGGGCACTCTTTTCGCATTGGTTTGTGCGTTGGCCTGAAGAAAAAGCTCTGTTTCCCGGTATACCATTCCATAAACTTACTCCAGCACAGTCGAGTGCAGTGGGTGTTGCAGTGAAAAAACACCGCGAGGTTTGTGTTCTCCCTGTGGTGTTGACATACATGTACTCACCTGTTCACACTCGCAGAATTTGATGTGATTTTACACCTCAGTGCTGAGATGGTATCCCAGATGTTCCAAGACCCGCGGTTGATTTTTCTTAGAATAGTGTTCAGGCAATCACGATAGAATACTTCTTGTAACATTGGCAACCTGCAGATCATGCAAAGAACAAATTAAATTTTTATGCCTATGATAGAAGAAACTAGAGCGTGATTCCGAGCTTCTTGATAGGGCCACAGCACAGTAAACAACCTTGGCCCCTTGCATCGACCTTAACTTCCATTACTGTTAACTGCTGCTAGCTCTAATTATCGAATGTAAGTGTCGGCACTACTAAATCACAACGCGTACTCACCAGTGATTAGATGGGCTACAAGTGGACAACAAAAGACCAAAGAGAATTCCTGGAGACGTTCCTCCCCGAGTACCATGAACACATGGTCGACAAAACTTACGATCCAGTGCTGAAAAAAGCCTGGCGGGGATTCTTTGAGTGTTGGCCAGAGCACAGTGTCATCCTTGTGCACGTGCCAGCAGATCAAAGACTGACAGAAGAACAAGAAGAACACTTAAAAGAGGCGGTCAGTAAACGACAAGCGGTAAGCATGCTATACAATATGCATCAAACACAGATTAAGCCTCACTCATCACAGCAAATCATGAGTTGGTACCGGTGGCAGAATAATGTGTCACGTTTGAGCCGTACCAGTGGGACAAAGGGGGTGCTCAAATTTGACACGGTGCTGGCAGGTGGGGTAGAATTGAGTGGTGCACGTGCCCCCAAGAAGATGCATATCTACTCACATGAGTATTATGTGAAGAAAGTCAAGATTGATGCGGACAAAGCTATTCATGAGGACAACATCACTCACTGTGGCCCTCAGTTGAACAAGTGCCTTGCTATAACTCAAGAAAAGTTCGAGGCGGAAAGTGACGAGGTGAAGGAAGAGGTTGAGAGGAAGTATAGAAAGGCAAAAGCGAAGTTCACTAGAGCTTGTGAGCGCTTGAAGGATGGTAAGATGCCGAAGGTTGATACAAATACAAAAGTCAAGTACGTACCTCCTGATTAGTCGTCATTTAAAGACTGGTGTTGATCATTGGTCAGGGCCATCCGGGAACTAGGTCCAATGCTGGATCGTGTATTCCGTTACCTGTCTCACGCAACCAGCAGCTGGAAGTTTTCGGTCCTCATGGCCGGGCCTGACCCCACAAAGGGTGGAACAGTGGTATATGAGTATGTCTGCTATATGTCAAATCACTTACGTCAACTTATACTGCAAATTGAAGCTATCACATAGGCAAACTCGGGAACGGTGCTCAATTCAACACATTTTGCGACAAGTTCGATGGCATCCAGCAAGCATTCTTGGAATTTACTAACAGCGCGCTTGGTAAGTGTCATTTTCTCAACAACAAGCTGCAACTTGAACACTCACCATATTATATAGCATTTGAAGCTACTCTCCCTCAAGACAACGACAACGACGACTCAGAGAGTGATGACAACACCGATAACGAGATGAACAACATTCCAACCAATTCAGTGGAGGACACAGCTAAAGCTGGCAGCAGTGGTGGTGTTGGTGTTGGGGCCTCGAACTTCAACGTTCACACGGACGATCTATACAGGATCTCACCTGATTCGTTCAACAACGAGTCACAAGAGGTAAGCGATGCCTTATTCGTCTTTGTAACACAACGTTACTGATAACGGTTCTTACCGCACATTCAGCTTTCTGCATTAGCTGATAATGCATGCCTGGGTCTCTTGTTGCATGAGGTAAGTCATGCATTGCATCTAATGCATTATTACTGATATGATACATCACTCCCGGTTCAGCAGCCACAGTCTACGTTACCCGATGCATTAGCCGATAATGCACGCCTCGGTTTCTTGTTGCATGAGGTGAGTCATGCATTGCATGTAATGCATTAATACTGATATGATACATCACTCCTGGATCAGCAGCAGTCTATGTTACCCAACCAATACTCCAACCTCAATTTCGACTTGGACCCCAACATACTAGCTTTGATGGCTGGCAGTGATGCTCAGATTCAGTTGCCTCCCCTGAGCCCTTTCACCCTGGGATTTTCAATCACTGCTGATGGCCTCGACAATGACACCCAGATCCAAGCGCATCACTCAAATCCATTCACCCCGAGCTCTTCAATCTCCGAGCTGCCACTTGTATTACCTCCTCCACCAACTCCCCCGCAAACACCACAAGTTTGTCTTCCTCTGGTTCCCATTGAGCCCACCCAAGACACGGATCTAGATGTACCTGTGCCTTCTTCCCCTGCTAACCGGCGTCGACGTGCAAGGGCACCTGCAGCACAACAGCAGGTGCAGCTTCAAGAAGACGAACCTCGTCAACACCGTGCACGCAATGTTGCCTTCAACAGGCGTGAGCTTGACAATGCCATTGGCTCTAACTCCAGCACCAAACAGAGACGAGGCCATGGCGATGATCTAGGCTCAAACAAGTATGTTCAACATCTTCGTTATATTCAATTTGTTCATATATCTTTTCATTCCAGGAGACTCAAGCGAGGGTAAGTATGGCGTGTTGGTATTCATGGTGTATTTAGTTTTGATGATTTTGCACTCTTAAACGTCTTTATACACAGTACGACGTAGTAATACTTGTTCATTTACTTTAGTCGCGACATGTCATGGTGAATCTAATAATCTACATCGAATTGATATATATATAAGTGTCCCTTTAACAACCAAATATATATGTTTTACCCTGTTCTAATGGAAGCCGTCGTGCGCTGGGACTTCAAAAAATTGACATGTACTGGACACGACTGGGACTTAGAAAAATTTAGCCCATTCGGAGATTTCTGAGCGCATGGACTTGAACGGATTGTGTCATTGAGTCAAGCAGTGGCCTAAAAAAGGATGTCAGGCCTCGAGCCATGAAGTTAAACTTAATTGATGGCAATCGAACAACCAGAAAGGATATGAGTAAGAATAGAATGCAATGTGGGGAATGAGAAGTGAGGGGGCTGCCAGGAACAGGGTTATAAAGGCAGGGACCAGCCTGGACCAGGAATCCAGCTTTTGAAGACCGACGGTACATTACACGCATTAGGCAATATGTACACAATTTGAAGGCTAATGCATTATAATGCACCTAATGCATTACACTGCTGGTTTGGGTGAGAAGTAATGCACCCTAAACTTAGCATTGCACCTGCATTGCTCTATATTGACACTTACCATGTAATAATGCATTAGAATGACAGTATAGCCTGGAACACAAAGGATTAAATATCGGATTGCCTTTATTCGGGGCAACACCATACCTGCATATCCTTGGTCTCGTGTTCAAGCAAAAGCCCAGATATGAAGTCGAGTGAGGACGTGACGACCATATTTGCCACCAGTGGGGAATAATGGTGATGAGCCTCGCGTATGAGTCTATCAAACGCATTCAGGACTGGATCCCCCCTGTGGCTGACAATTTGCAAAATTTTCATTGAAACTGTACAGGTGTACCGGGTCTTGTCCTTTGTCCAGAGTGTCGTCGATGCAGGTGCTGGCGCCAGTAAAGAGGCAGATCCACATGCTGGTCGCACGATCAGGGAGGTGTGCATAGCCAGCGTAGAACATGGCCACGCCATTGGCCATATATGGGTGGATGAAGTAATTCCCATCCATCAGAAAGCTGCGGTTGATGGCTTCCTGGCAGCATTCAGTGTACAATGCTTCGTCGAGCATGACTTCCGCATATTGCAAGCCACAACGCTGAAGAAAATCGGCGACGTCCTGGTGGATGCTTGCTAGGACCTATATTCGACATTAAACTGGGGACATAGAAACGTGGCAGAAAAACTGTATATACCCCACTGTCGAGAGTGGAAGTGGATAGGCAGTTCATTGTGAATCACTAGTTACAGACAGGAGATTTGGTGAGAGAATGGCTGGACTGAGTTTCATGCACCTGGTACTTATACCCTGGTAGTAATTTGCGACCTCTGTCTGGAACAGTAGTCCGGTGCTATGCCCGATACGAGTTGACAATGAACAAGAGTGCTCGTAATGTATAACTGTCCCCACACGCGAGACTACGTGGATAACACGACCACGGAGCAATTGTCTATCCCGTGTAGATTGCCAGAAGATTGAAGATGATCGGCAACATATCACACCCGAATGCCGAAAAGGTCCAAATGTCCAATCCTTTCGAGGCGCCTATGCATATATCAATGGTGGAAGGCTAGGAAAGATACCTATGATATCTGTTGAATATCTGTGTAAATCTATCTTCAAGTGTTCTTGTGCAGTGAGAGTGGTTTTGAGAAGATTGCTGAGCAACATGCCATCAGTGATCAAGAGATTTCGCGCGTACTGAGTACCGCTAGAATCACACCTTACAGGTGATCATGTCAGTGAGATCGTTGGTTGTTCGTCATGGCATCTGCTGACAGCACAAGATTGGCGATCTTCCTGTGTTCTCGGGTTCTAGATGGAAAATGCATGTCAGCAACACTGTTAGAATGATGCGTGCGTCTCGCAAGGATGGCACGATTGCAAGATATTTGCGCCATTGGCAGTGCTGCGAACCGGTTTGGCGATGCCCCTAGTTAGTCTCCCCTACCTGGAATAATGGCTTCGGACTTGAAACCTCACAACCAAGCTGTCTGAGCTTTACCAGCTCCACAAGAGCCACGACTTTGGTCCTGGGCGCCCAAGATTGCCAAAGCTTAATGAAACCAGTGATCGAGAAGCACCTGAGTGATCTGATTGGGGGATCAGCGAACTTCATGGAATCATGTAGTTGGAATATGTAAGTATAGCCTCAAGCTCAAGGCTTAGCTCACTAGAAAGAGGTTGTGAGATTGTCCAGACGTTCAAGTTGTAGATCAATATTGTAGATCTCGGTAACAATGAAATAATTTTCAGAGTTCCATTGCCACGCGGAAATGGAAACTGGTGTGAGTGCTGAAAAATAATGACTTGAACCTTGGCTGTCTCAGATCTTCTGCACACAGAATGTATATTCCACCTTGAAGTGCTAAGCATGCTTTGTAGGTAGCAGTACGGACGCTACTTCGATAACAATCATGTCGCAAACCATATCAATCCAAGCGCTCCGAGTCGATTTTCTTCTGGAACATTTGATAAGTTATTTCATCATTGCACATCAATGTTCAACCGATACTTCGTTTAGAAGGTCATACATTTAAGCTCTTCTAACTGGCGATGGTTCTATCAGCATGTCAATCTACCTCATGCGTAAGATACATTGGTCACTCATCAGCTTTGATCTGCTCTTCCTGATGACCGACCGAGTACAATGATCTGGCTTAGATGTCAACCTCGTGAGAGGACTGGTCCTTCCCGTGCGGACAGGTGTATAACCTGAGGAGCGTGGAGCGCGCACAGAACTCAAGGGGGCTTTCGACCAGTGTACGGTGCCGCTTGGTATTTGTCGCCAAGCTTTGCCCACCTCGTGTATTACTTAATTCCCCCATTTGAACTGTTCTTGTCAACATTGTCAAGACAGCGAGCCGACAGAAATCAAGTGCTGGCTCACTTCTATGTATTATCCCATCGTGACTGATTTGGGTGACAGGCAAGAGGGACATCTGCAATGGCTGAATGCAGATTCAGCGAGTTGATACCAAATCAGGTGTATAATAAAGCAGTGAGGCACTGCAGAATAGAGGTGCGGGTGGCAACGACGTTGCCATTTTTCAAATTGTAGATACCTACGATCGAACATGCCATGAGCTGAAGAGCAAGAAATAGTAGACTCTTGACTGACTGTATCCAAGTGCGGTGCCTCGAAGAGCAAAGATCCCTGGAGCCATTCTAGAATCTACCATCACATCTGCACGCTCTGCCTCTTTGCCTAACATAATATCATCCAGCCTGAGCCAATTGATGCAACTCCTCGTAGGTATCGCTTCTGAGGACCTTGAGATATATCCATTTCGCTGGCATGGCTGGGGCTATGTTGATTGTTCAATGTGGTTGCCTAAGGTCAAACTTTAGGATTGGGGTGTTTTCCCATGGAGGGTTTCTCATTGGAATCATCCCAAGGGATGCATGATACATACAAACAGCTTCTCCCACTCAAAGCCGCTAGTCCACATCATCACAGCTACACAAGCCCGCTGCAACATCTTGTGGCATTGATGTCTTATTTGCATTGGGATGTGAGTAGGCTTCGACCTTACTAAAGTGTTTCTGAACCAGCAGCGCGGCGCCATCGTGGCGTTAGAAAACCCCGGTTGAGTCTGCCTATAATATCTACAGAGCTGGAAAGCAATGACATGACAACATTACCCATACCTCTTCTGCTGTGTGATTCTGTGGAGTTCCCTGGTCCCCAATTTAGATCACTCAGGCACTTTTGAAATACCACTTTTATTCTGATCAAGTTTTGGCGATCTTAGGTGCCCAGGATACGTCGCGGGACTCACTGGGGCTGGTCAAAACTCACCCACAACCTGCTTGTAATTCCGGGCTTCAACACCATACCCGTCCCTTCCGTTCGCACTTAGTTGACCGGTCCTTGGCCTGGTCTTCAGGTGCTTTTTAAACCCGAGTTCCATTAGGCTATACAGCAGATGCCGACAGACCAGGACCAACTTTGAGGCGGTAACTGTGTTCACTGACTATGTGGATATCACTGGATGTGTTTCGACTCGGATTAGAGTCGTTAGAACTTAACCGGATATGGTGCGTATGTATGTAACATGTTTATAGGTACTTAGCTCTCATCTGTCCTGCATTCAATGACTTGACAGTCAACTAGTGCTTTATCTCAATGCTCACCGATGGATTCGGTATCGATCAACTTTGTTTCTTTACGACAATTAAGTACTACATAAACAACCACGCTTTCTTGGCGGCCAGCTGGTGCTTTATCTTACGGATTTGGTATTCATCAGCAAACCAGGGGTGTACTGGACAGAGCTGCAGAGCCCACAGCAATGCAATCTGTCATGAAAAAAGAAACTTCGTTTACAGATTACTACACCACTGCATTTTCTTGTGAGGCAACTGACGATCTGGATAATTGGTCCAACGTAATGCCCCATTCTGTCATTGAATGCTAGGGCATTGCTGATATTATTGCTGACAGGATATTTTCGCATACAACATGGGGCAATCTTGCCGTGATACACACAATATGATTGTTGTACTCGTGCGCAAACAAGGCCTGAGCCTACAAGGCGCTGTGGACTACCTGTGCCAGCTGTGCGAGGGCGCCATCCAGTGCTTCCAAGACGACCATGCTATCCTCCCTCATGGAGAGAAGAGCTTGAAATGCACCTGGCTATCTACGTCGAGGGGTTGAAGAACTGGATTGTTAGTTCCCTGCACTGGCCCTTCGATTCCACCTGCTATTCCAGGAAGGACAGGGCATCCTGTCAATCGGGATTCGGGACCGAATCCTACTTCCCAAAAGTAACGTTGTAAAGAGAAGTGCGTTGGTTTTACTAGGTGGGATAAATATTTCCTGCACTGCACAAATCACTTGCGTGGTAGAATGTTAACTTACACCATATACGTTTAACCATGGAGTTGAAATTTTTACTCTAGATCCATAACAAGCGTGATATGTTTTCTATATTCGTGGCTCTAGTTCTGGCTCCCATGCAGCACCCTTCCAGTTCCACATGTTCTGTCCGTGTTTTGTACTTCTAGTGGTATACCACCACTACACACAGAATAGTCTTATTCTTATGCTGAATAGAAATGTTCATTAGCATCAAAACTCTTATGATGTGTTGTGACGTGCTTCCCCATGCCATAAATATACAGCGCCAATATCGAAGATTAGCGCACTATGTAAGGGTCGCAAAACTTGTATGCCCTATCAAAGTTTACATTTAGCTTGTTCCAAGAGTTCAGCCTGGGTGAGCCCACCATTGGAAAACACGTGTGTGAGTATAGGGGGAGGTCACTGAGCAGGAGAGGAAGATGGCAAGCAATATAGTGCTTCTAAGGCATCAATAACAGGCACGAGGCGCCGTTGTTTTTGATTATTTGAGGCGACAAGATAACGGTGAGCAATTAATGCGAGATGCTCACCATAGTGCTGGTTGTCGTCCAGAAGACGTCAGGATTGCACCGAACAACTATTTGAGACACGTTTGGATATAACTTGGTATATGCATGGGTATAATTCTGCAAATGCCCAGGTTGTGCTCCCACTGTGGACGCGACTCATCCGAGAAGGACTACAGGAACACAAAAGTTGAGGGTCTCACTCCACCCGAATATCAGAATGACACTATAGCATGACCTGCTTACTAAATGCTACGTTTAGCTAGAAGTTGTAAAAAGTGAATCACAAATAACCAGGGGCTGTTATTTGTGAGGTATGCTCGACGTGAGATATGAGAGCTATATCTATGGTCACTCCTTCGAGTGGTGAAGACTAGATACGAGTTTCGCCAGTTGGGGGGAGGGGCTTCGGTTGGTGTTCGGCTTTAGCCGAGAGCCAAGAAAAAGAGAGTCTGAAGTCTCCGAAAAACAAGAAAAGATCGAAACGATGAGAAACTTTGATGTTATGATCAGCGCCGCGAGTCACGTGACACGTCAATGCTCGATGCAACTGATGCGAAGGCAAAGCAAGAGCAAGGAATTGTTTCGATCAGAGAAAGCTGAAAAGGAGACAGCCAGACGTCAAAATAAGCACAACCGAAGTCCTTGAGTGTGAGGTATTTGAGAGGGTTTTCAGAGCACGACACTACCCATAACGAGCAAGGCTCACAAACAGTCGTGGCTAGAAAACGCGACTCCCCAACTAGCAGACTTGCGAGTGAATAATGAGAATAGCAAAATTTGGAAGCAGTAGGACCAGCATTAATGGTGAAAATTCCTGAGTTCACGCTCGAAGGAAGTCGTGCCAAATGGAACGGTTTTCGAGGTTAATTGACGACTCACGAGTGAAAGGCAAGGTATGGGTTTTATGGAATCCTTGTGATGTCGCGAGCATGCCCGACGTCCTAGACTGACTGGGTATGAATATAAAGTTGAATAGAATCATCTCCGAGAGCGGGTGAGCACATTCTGAGGTTTTTCATTTTTGGGCAAGATGGTGGTAGTGCGGAAGGCCCTTGGCTAAATGCGGCCAACACCACTCGATGATCAGTATATGGCGAGGAAAAATCTCGTGACTATTGGATGTCCGAACGAGGTCTGCGCTGCGACTGGCGAGGAGTGCAGAGATATTGAATGTAAATTAAACCCTATTGACATAGTGATGCGGAGGTTGGCAGTAAAGCAAGAGTTGAATGAACAAATCAAGTCGCTGCACTATACCAATCTAACTCGTCGAGTTGGCATTGTGAAGGTGCACAGTTAATCCAATGGTTGAAGAAAACAAATTTTAAATCGTTGCGCTATATCAGAGTGACTCGTGTGTTGAAATTAAATTCAATGAAGCAAGGACTACCATGTCGCAGCGGATCTATTGCACTGTCACGAATCAAAGTTTGCCAGAGAGAGGGCCGGGAGGCGATCTGAAGTGTATCCATGCGACCAGATCCGAAATGGGACGAAGACGATGTATAGAACGGACGACTAGAAAGCAGGGTCATGCATCTTGCGAGTGTATATGAACGAAGTGTGACAATTCCTCGTCAGAGGTGACAAAGGGAAGATGTCATCAATAAGGCATGGTATGGTACCATGCTCTGGCAAAGCCGCGAATGGCGGGAGAGAAATGTCGAGGCATTTAATACCTCCATGTAAGCACTGAGTTCTGATGTGTACAAAACAATGAAATGGGACCAATATCCAGGTGGATGAGATGATGCCAGGTAGAATTCCTCTGACTGAAATGAGACTCGGAGGTGGTAAGCAGGTGCCAATGAAACTAGCAGAAGAAGTGGTGATAGCGAATTACATGCATCCGCAAGTAACGAGGTGTACCGGCAACAAGTAGCGATGGTCCGAACGAAGGGAGTTGGTCCCTCCTCCGGCGGTCGCACATACCTCAACCAGTGAAGGAAAAGGCATTGCCCTACACGAAGGCAGCCACACGGTCTAACAAGGAGGCGCGGCCTGTAGAACAGGTGTCTGACGCAATCAAGTTCCAAAACCAAAGTCTAGAGCAATCGAAGGTGGGGGGCGGACGACATGAAGCGAAACAGGTATCGGAAAGCACAGAGTAGTGCTGAACGGGACACTAAGCAAAGGAGAGACAATGACTCGTCGAAGCGCAGTCATGCAAAGTCCGAAAGGGAGAGACCACTTGTGCTCTGTAGTTATGTATTTACAACAGAAAGGGGCCGTAGACCCGCCGTTGCGGTCACGCGCACACCTGCAAGGAAAGGAAGGCATCGATCTGCACAAGTGCAGTCATGCGCAACCAAAAAAGAGGAAGGCATCGGCCCGCGTTACACGGTCATGCACGACCAACAGAGAAGAGGCGTCGACCCGCCGTCGCGGTCACGCACACTCCTGCAAAGAAAGGAAGGCATCGATCTGCACAAGTGCAGTCATGCGCAACCAAAAAAGAGGAAGGCATCGGCCCGCGTTACACGGTCATGCACAACCAACAGAGGAGAGGCGTCGACCCGCCGTCGCGGTCACGCACACTCCTGCAAAAAAGGGAAGGCATCAACCTGCACAAGTGCAGTCATGCGCAACCAAAAAAGAGGAAGGCATCGGCCCGCGTTACACGGTCATGCACAACCAACAGAGGAGAGGCGTCGACCCGCCGTCGCGGTCACGCACACTCCTGCAAAGAAAGGAAGGCATCAACCTGCACAAGTGCAGTCATGCACAACCGAAAAAGAGGAAGGCATCGGCCCGCGTTACACGGTCATGCACAACCAACAGAGGAGAGGCGTCGACCCGCCGTCGCGGCCACGCACACTCCTGCAAAAAGGGAAGGTATCAACCTGCACAAGTGCAGTCATGCGCAATCCAAGAAGAGGAAGGCATCGGCCCGCGTTACACGGTCATGCACGACCAACAGAGAAGGGGGTGTCAACCCGCCGTCGCGGTCACGAACACTTGTGCGATGCATCAACCTGCACAAGTGCAGTCATGCACCATCCAGAGGAGGAAGGCATCAACCTGCGCTACACGGTCACGCACAATCAACAGAATAAAGGAGGGGGGAGTCGACCCGCGGTCGCGGTCGCGCACACCTGTGCAAAGAACGAAGGCATTGACAGTACGTGGTCGTGTGCGGCCAACGAAGAGAAAGAGGCATTGACCCGCGGTCGCGGTCGCGCGTAGTCATGACAGCCACGCACGATATGTGAAAGAAAGTAAACCAACCACAGCAGCGGTTATGCACATCTCTATCCGAGAGAGACCCCACCACGCAAAACGCGGATGAGCAAACTCCAGATAACAGGTGTTCATCAAGGACGACAAAGAGAAAGGAGGTTTAAAATGGCTTGAAGCAGAGGTAGCAGTCTAGGGGGGAGAAAGACGTTGGAAGCACGTAAAGGACTGGGTATATGCGCTGAAAATACAGCATGTATGCGATGCGAATGAAATTCAAGTGCCGAGGCACGATCGCTGAAGCGTGTAAACGGCTGCCGAAGTATGTGTGCCCGAATACACACTCCGAAGTGCATGGATGGCTACCCATCCACTACAGATAGTGTCTAAACACGATAAGAAGAAAGCATACCGAAGACTGAGTATATGCTCTGAATTCTAGCATATATGCGCTGCAAGTGAAATGCAAGTGCCGAAGCGTGATCACTGAGGCGTGCAAATAGCAATCCACTAAATTAGTGTACCTAAGCACGAGCGCCGAAGCGTGTCAATAGCTTCGAGGCGCTGGGTCTGTGAGTGCCGAAGCACAGACGCCACAGCGTGCGGACGAGTGCCAATGTATATGCGCTAAGGCGAGCAAGAGGGTGCCAACGCGCCCGAGGAGGACCCAAGAAGACAAAACATAATGCAATCGAATAAAAGCCCTCGTCGCGGGCGAATCCTCGTCACAAAGAACGAGCAAAATTCATATGCGAGACATTAACGGACACATGAGGTGTTATCATGAGGAAGAGAAAACGAGAAGGTGAATGTATGCAGCCGGAAGAAGACTGACGTGAATAGTATGATACCATATCACTCAACTCGTCATGGCTAATGGCCGATAAACTGAATAGATTGAGGGGAACTCATCTTTGATCGAAAGGGGTACGAATACACCCATAACAACGTCGTATCAGCGTATGCAGGATACGCTCGGATGTCCAAGGACGACCAGGTTGGAGGTATTTTGTCAGACGCGCGAAGCGCCAGAATTCGACGGACAAACCAAACGAGCGTCGGATTCTCAACATCAAAGAAGACGAGTGAGCGAGAGATGAAGGAAAGAAGTAAGATGCGTGCATATGACGCATCGCAACTTAGATCACTCACTTGCTTAGTAAGCACTTGTTTGAGCTTTGCTTGCTCGCAGGCTCGCGAGCTAGCTCAAACGGCACGTCAACTAAGTGCATACCCGACTCACTTTCAAGTTGGTGATGTAATGTCCTCGGGGTCCTGACGTTGCTCACGCGCTCACAGATATCTATCCCACTGCCAATCACACTGGACCCTTTCAGCGCGTGAACTCCAGGGGTCGACGACATGCTTGTAGAGATGAGCCACGAAATGATAGGCGTTCCCAAAGACGAACCCGACGAAAAGATAACGACACGTGTTTTGGCCTAGGCTTTGACTATCTTCCTTCGATTGGATTGACTAGCAGTGTACAAGTGCTGAAACGCCGATATGTAAATTTATATATCCAGAATAGTGACAGCGCCAACATTCGAGCCTAGTGCAACGCAGCCTCTTTCCTCGTCGTAATCAAGGCATGTCCAATTCTCGCCGTAATTCTTCCACGATGACTTGACCTGCGGTTCACTCTGAGCATTCAGCAATCCAGGAAAGGCGGCGGCTACAAGTGTATCGTGAGATTGCGGGACAGGCATGGGTTGCAGGTGAACATTCGAAGATATTAGGCCGGCAATTGAATAGTCTCCTGGCTGTACCCAGACCGCAGTCCCATATGGGCCAAGCACCATGTCGGTGCATCGTAGGGCCCCCCGACGTGGGGTGATGATTTCAGTGGTCATAGAAGGAGGGAAATCGTAATGCGGCCTATCGACAGCGGTGTCATTAGACGCGATCATTGGACTCAAAGTCCAGAGTTGAATCTTGAATGTGGATGACCACGGGTCATCACTCTTCGTGCGAACGAGTATGGACAGCTGCTGCCCTTTCATTCCTGAAGGATCCTCGGGAGAAGATGGCGGAACAGCGACAAAGATGCCATCCACCCAACCAAATGTGCTCTTGGCATACGGGTGATGGGTGCATGTATTGGGATGTGGTGCTAATTGTGGCTCCGCAAATGCATGAACTGAACGAGCCCTGACGACAAGGATGGTCTTGTATGCAAAGACGACCTGAGTGCATTGGTTCTACAAATCTCATGATAATGAAAACGGGACTGTCAATTGACGGGGCGACATACCCGCCGAAGGCCTGCATCGACAGGACTTTGCATGACAGCATACTCCTGCGTTTTCCAGTTCCATATTACAGTTTCAGCTTCGTCGTCCGCCAAGGCCAGTAAGGACCCGCGCATAGCAATCGGCCGACGCAACGTCTTGAAGCGAGCAATGCATTCAAAGTGTGGCGAGGAGTCTGGCGCTGTAGACGTGATAGCCAATATCTCGATCACGGCGGAGCTGCAAATTATTTAGTGCACTGATGAACACGATCAGCAAGGCGGTACAGACTCAAATTGGTACAGTGACACCGCGAGAGCAGCTTCAGAGTCTTCAGACGTGTTCACTGCTAGAGCAGAGAAAACAGCCTTTTTTGGGGACCAGGAAGTAACTTGTGTCAAGGTACCGCGATCCCACAGTGTGATCATCGACCAGATACCTTGTGAGACTGTGACGAACCATCTCCGATCATAGCCTGGAATGAAGTGGATGCCTTGAACGGGACCCCCCCTACTCGCTGCGAAGCCGGACGCGCGAAATATTATAGAGGGAGCTTTCCAAGCATTTCCCAGATGGTAAGCTCGACGTACTCTGTCCTCCAGATCACGGACAGAGAAACTCGAAATAGGTTTCTTAGAGAACGGTATGCCCCACTGCAATATCTGAGAAGAAGCGATGTTCTGCCACACAATCTGCTGCCTTGAGAAGACTAGCAGTCTACGGCATGTCTAACATTTCGAGCAAGAGTGAGTAGCAAAACCTGGTTGAGACGAAACAATCTTACTTGTCTCAGGTTGAGTAAATCTGGAACTGTTAGCGCAGAGAAGACGCCGAGCAGCGTGTCGTCATCCAGAGAATCGAGAGAAGGACGCATGTCAGTAGTGGCCTTTGCAATTGAATATACACATGAGAGATCCTATTGGGTACACCTGCAGGTTCCTGTCAGTCCCAGACTTCCAGCATTTACTTACGATATGACTTGACTTCAAGATCGTGACATAACATACATATGCATACATACATGTAATCAAAATTACATACGTGCAAACAAGTCCTGCATATTCGTTTCTCCAATACTTTGCTTGAAGTACTGTGTTATGTCTGCCAAGGAGCCCAATCGTCATCAGCTCTCATCTCGTTTACAATACCAATCTCATATTCCCGCATTTTTGCAGAAATTTCAGAATAAAATTCAGGGTATAACGGACGAAGATGAGGATGAACCACAATACTACGACGACGGTTCAGGACGTCCACCAATACCTGTCCGTCCTGCGATACCTGAACGACCCGATGATGATCCTGGAAGTGCAGACGAAGACGGTATTGATGAAAGACCTCAGGTAGTTGTGCTGAAAGAAGGCAAGCATCTCACAGAGAGGGAAGCAGAGAATGAGAGACGGAAAGGTGTGTCTCACCCTGCATTCGAGACCCCTTATTCTGACAAGACTGCTTAGAGAAAGGACTGCCACCACTCCCTGATCCCACCAAGAAAGTCGAGGATGACGCCGAGGATGACGCAAAATCAGACATGAACTCTTCGAAGAAGAAGCACAAAGAGGCTGGTAGTCTGTCGTTTTCCTCTTCGGGTGCGAAGGCCCAACAATCCAACAAGCTCAAGCGAAAAGTTGTTGGAGATTTGGATGGTAGTGATGAAGGCACCAAGAAAGCATCGAAGAAAAAGTCGAAGAAACCACGGAAAGCACTACTTTCATTCGGAGAAGATGTGTAGTTCTCAGTCTCCGGCTTGGTAAGTTCTCCTCTCCAATCATTTGTGTATACACAATGACAATTCCAAGAATGTCGATTGCGTCAAGTTCTTACTGCAAGGGTATTCTCTTGCTTTCGTCATAAGGTATCGAAGACTCTTCCCGAAATAGGTTCGTATTCAAGTGAGACCATGACACGTCAATTGCCCAGTTCCTTGCGGTAAGACCCCTTGCAGATACAGAGGAGCATCATTATGCCTTAGCTCACGCCGTGCCATAGAGCTGTACGGACATGCTCTCGGAGTGTTACGACGACACGGTGACTTATGCCGATAAACTTTACGGCTTTCGAGAGAGCCTATCGAAATTTTTACAACATACAATTTGGAGCCCGTGCACGTTTTCTCTCGGGCTCCTACGACCGCTTTGATAGTAGACACAGACTTCGTGTGGAATACATACATATCCTGAGCATAACATTCTTGCATATCATGATCACGTGATCAAGTTTACAGTCTGAATCCTTAGTTGCGCGTTAGCTACTACGCAATAATATTTACCTCCAGGTCCAGAGGTATTTTCCATAGTCAGCCACTCCCAGCATCTTGTACAATCTCTGGGTGTTCAAAACATACCGGTTTCCGTGCCTACTGTCCATCGAAGGAACTACATAATCATGTACTCTACTTTTGTTCGCCTCGCAGAATCTGTGACCACTAAGCCTTTGAACCTGCGCCAGGCCAGTGTCACGCTATACCCCCCAATTCCGTATGTCTGGTCGTGATATTCCGGTGACGGCAAGCAACTCAATTTATTTTTGTTTTCGGTGTCTTGTAGCCTGTACCGCAGACTACTGAGGGCGCACCGGAGGCTCCCGGTCGAAATGCGATCGCTGGGTGATGACTATGTCAAAGCAGGTATGTGTTCTAAGATAGTGATGCACCACCGGCTCACACCGTTGTTCTTAAAGAGTTCAGAAGGCATAGAGAGATTACCAATCCAGTACACGTCATGGGATTTCTGACACAGTGGAAGATGTACTTGGATGAGCTACCTCGAGACCCGTCGGACTCGAGAAGCTTCAAAAAACTAGACCCCACGGTATTCGAAAAGGTCTTTATGATTCCGCTCATTTATGTATGGGATTTGGGGTTAACATGTTTCCAGATGTCTGCGGAACAACTTGGACAGTTGTACGAGTTTATGCACGCGACTAAGGAGATATGGAAACCGGTGAACGGCGAACAGGCCGATTAATTTGAGACCAAGAAATGACATCATCAGTCGTCCATACTACCCCGTCCTTCGTGTGCATACCGGACCAAGAAATGACATCATCAGTCATCCATACTACCCCGTCCTTCGTGTGCATACCGTTTGGTTCCGCGAAATCCTGGGCGGAACACCTAGGCCGAATGACCAAGAAATGACGTTCTCGGTCATCTATCCTCCCGTTTGGTTCCGCGAAACCCTAAGCCAAGGCATGTCATCCATACCCTTCCATACCCTGTCTCCGTGTGCATACATCCTTCCGCTTGCTTCCGTTCCGTCTTTGACACGACTCGGGTTCCTTCTGAGCGCTCAGGAACCGGCACCTTTCACATTGAGGTAATGTTAGTCTCCGGGGTAATCCGAGCCAAGACGAGAGAACCCATCTTTTTCGAACTACATTGCCTCACGCTTCGGTCAGTTCGCCATCAATAGCGCCGCACTCCTTCCCACTCCCATGAATGAACACATTGAGAGTCACGTGCACGTGTAGAATATAAATGAGGTCATGTAGATTACTTGGGCTATCATCATTTCACCCAACAATTCGCATTTCACCCAAAAATCCGCATTTCACCCAACAATCCACCCGTTCACAATGTCGCAAGCCGCTGTCAGTAATTTTCATTGATCTTCGTCTGTGACAGTTGACTGAGAAGTTGGGAAGACTGTCTCATCAAACAACCTGCCTTATGCTGACCTGCCCCCCATCGTGGCGGCGCTGTTCGAGGCTAAAGCGAAGAAAGGTAAGGCGTGAACGCGATATTGAATGACGCATTCTGATCTGACATTACAACAGGGTTGTCCTTTGAAGATATTTCTAAGGCAATCGGAAGAGATGAGGTCTGGGTAGCTGCAGCTTTCTATGGACAGGTTCGTCTACACTCTAGGATTGTGTCATGATCATTCATTCGTTTTCATAGGCCAAATTCTCTCCCGAGGAGCTCGAAGCTGTTGCGAAGGTCCTGGACCTTTCCGCAGTCAGCGTCCAGAGTGAGCTTGGTTCCCACTGGTGGCCTAACCGTGGTGGCCTTGGGCCTATGCCCCCCACCGATCCCGTCCTATACCGTCTATACGAGAGTGTGCTCGTGTATGGTCATGCCATCAAGGTCAGTCAGGGTTTGATATCATGCATAACGCAATCTTACAAGCCATCGAAATCAGGCTGTCGTTCACGAGAAGGTGAGAGATTTGACATTAAGTTGTCTAGTATGTCATATTAATTAACCTGCTTTCTATAGTTCGGCGACGGTATTATGTCCATGATCGACTGCAAAGTTAACGTCACGAGGAAGCCTGACCCGAAGGGTGACCGTGTTGTTTTGACTTTCGAGTGAGTTACAGCGTTGTCCGATGTTTCTGCTTAGGTCCTCATCCGGTTTTCTCCCATTAGTGGCAAGTTCCTGTCCTACTCAAAGTGGTAAAAACTTCGTACTTGATAATGTATATTTATGATGTATCGTTACCATAAATAATGCCAGGCAACCCTGACTGAATTGTTTCAGTTCTGCGTCCGATATTTCGATTCAGACCATGATATGATGAATAAGTCGCCCTCTGCGAGCGAATGCAACCTCAGTTCTAACCACTTCTACCCATGATGTCTAGTTTATGTTCATCTTCTGAGCGCTCTTCACGGGCGCACAGCCTTTCCTCGACCTCCCTATCGTCTTCGAGATCTAGTTCATCCTTCTTCTACCACGTTTCTAATGCCTCCAGCTCAAATACGGAGGTTTCTATCAGCTCCCCGGGCTCTCCAAATCCGCAAACATCGTCCCATAAGACCAAAGATTTCATCGCTGCTGCATCCGCTAAGCTATCCAAAGCTCGTGAGCAGGTCTCGCACGCGCTCAGCGACGCTACTATCCCTAAGGAGTCCAAGTTTCGTTCTTCCATAACTTCCGCTATCGTTGAGGAGGATGTGGGATATTATGGGTCGGATGGTGATATTCGTGGAGCGAATATGAAGTCAGCGAGCCTCCAGAAGGCACGACCCAAGTTCCTACGAGTGGACACAAAACAAGCGAAAGCGAGCTGCTTCTATCCTGTCCCTCCATCCATTTAGCATTACCACTAATGCCGGCGCTCCTAACACAAATACTACTTCTCGCAAACGTCTGCTCGCTCATCCTGATGTTCTTTCTAACACACGTGCTATTCCGGATTTCGAGCTCACCACCAAGACGTTATTGAAGCCGCCTGCTGGACTTGGCCTGGCTCTTCCGTCCGTACATCTATCGAAGCCTATCGCTCGTGCTTGCACGATGCCCTCTATCAAGTCCTCCTCTGAACACAATCTCCGAGACTCTCCCTCGTCAAACTCGCCGCCGCCGACCTCCCACCCCCATGGGCCGCCGAAGGTTTACCTTCGCCCCATAGAGCTTCCTGGCACACCGTCCCCTATGGAGCTTCTGCCACCTAGCATCATCATGTGTGAGTCAATGCATAGGAGTCTGTGCAAAGGTTTCAAGCAATCCTTATCTGCGCTTCCTTCGCCGGCCGAAGGATTGTCGCCACTCTGGACGCTCCCTCCCCTTACTGGCTTCGTAGCATCTCATACAACACCTCAGAGTCCCGTTCTACTCGGTGAAGGCGGGTTGAAGTTAATCAGTCATCCTATTGGCGGCGGAGACTGGAACCCATACTTCCCTTCGATCTAGGTAGGGCATGTGATGGTCAAGTATATCTGCCAACTAATCTGGTTAGCTTATACAGCACATATTAAACAACCCGTGTGTCAAAGCTAGATGATAGTGCACATATACGTATTGATGATAATGTAATGACCTGTTCACGTGTATGTAAATAAAATAACAACTGCAGCATAGAATATGAACGCACGACACGGACGAAACTCTTTCTATGCGACAGCGACAGGGAGACCCATCGCGATTCGACTGATAGGCTGGACAACATCTGCATCGACGCCAAGTCCAATGTATGGGAAGCCCGTCCCGTCCTTCGCGAAGTCGGGCGGGTTGGTACCGGCAAGGAACGTCTCGGCCTGCTTCTTTACGTAGGCTGTGTTTTGAGGGGTCTGCGGAACAGCCGGGATATACATAACTAGACATAGAATGGTCAGATCTGGACTTTTGCAGAGGGCTTGTTGGATCGGACTTACCAGCAGAGTCGCATGAACCGGTGTGTTCCTGCTCGACAGAGTGGACGACATCCTGTGCGGAGAATCAACACCAAAATGAAAGAGGGAGCGGATGACGCACGCAGTGCCAGAAAACCATGTCACCAGGGTTCACCTTGGGCACGGAGGTCATGGTATCATCTAGCCTGAGATGGGGGTGCAATTTTGGGGTGGGTTGTGGTCCGACCCAACCGTTGTCACGAGGCTGAATGCCAGGAAAATCAGGAGTGGATATATCTATAATCGTTCCTCAGGGGGCTGCAGAGAAAAACAAGACATTGTGTACAGACCGAACACCCAGTTTTCCGGATCAAGTATGTCCTTAGAGTCGAGGGGAACAGTCGGTCGGAAGAATGGGCGGAGGATGGTGTATGCATTTGACAAGAACACATCGGGGAATACTTTCAGGGTGCCTTGAGTAGGAGCGGTCTTGCTGTAATCGATATCAACCCTTGCATTCAAACTCGAGCAAAGGAAATCTGACCTTATAGCCAGCCAACCCTGGAAGGTCCGGAACACAGTTGCCTACGACAAATATGAGCAACGTCGTGCATTTCCAGTACTATTACAACAAACCTGTCCAGCTCTTCCATATAAGGATGCACGAGCATCAAGGCGGCCCTCGAGTTCATAGGGATCGTGCTGGCGCCAGTTGCCACTCAAAATATCCGCGAAGCACCTGCGGAAGTTGTCATCTTCCCAGCGCTCCATGGAACCCCCTAAATGTGTTTCAGAAACTGTTTGTTTTTGGTAGGACAAACAGGCACACCGTCAACATGAGGGGGGTGGACATCCCATTGCACACCGGGGTGACGAATGCGGATCCGATCTGCATATACCAACGGAACGTCGAGATCTACGCCTTCCATCTTCTTGTCGGTCTTTGTGCGGTAAAGGTTATTAAGCCAGATGGAAGCTTTAAGGACGTTAGGGTGGGCGCGTGCTTGTACTTGTGCTCGGGTCCAGCTAGCAAGGAATCAGTATCCGTGTCGACAACCGGGAACTATTTCTAACTAAAGGAAGAAGAATTGCTTGTCCCGTTCGGGGAAACCTGTAAGACTGGGAATCAGGCAAAAAACTTTCATTTAGGGACCAGAGGGCTGACCTTCGACGTGGGGGTTAGCTTTGATAAAATCCTCCAAAGCGGTCTTCCAGCAGGCAGCCTCACTCTCTTCAACAACGCCGTGGATGACAATAGAGCCCTTGCGTCGAATATCATCGAGTTGCTCAGGGACCAAAATGTCTAGGTACTGGAAATGGACTTGGGGGATGTACTGCGGAGCAATTAGTCACTCATAAATGAAAAAAAAAATTGTGTAAATGACTGACGTTGGGGCCCTCGTCCGTAATTTCTGTCGTGCGTTGATTGAGCTCCTGGAGAAGATCGTTCCAAGACTCAGTCAAGCGTCTCTCGTAATCGGGAGTCGCCTCCACAATTTCGCGCTTCAGGTCAGCAAAACGCTCAGGCCACTGTATTGTCAAAACCATCGCTGAAAGAAGATTCCAGCTAAGCCTTGCAATTATAGATGTCGGATCACTCGAAGCCCGCACTTCGCTCTTATAGCCTGATTGTTGACAAGGGATAACATTGTTTTTGGTTACGGGCCGCTTCTGACATCGCGAGTGTCCAGAGGCGCATTGTATGAACACCGACAATATTCCACATACGTATCAGGCGCTGATGGAATGCAAAATGCAGACAGCAATAGCAACGACGCTGCGAGCTGCGTGGTAGAGTCACGTCGGACGACCATTGCGATATTTTCAGCATGCTACGAAGTCCCGCGATTCTGATAACAGCATGAAGACCAGGTTGTGGACACCTCGCGTGAACTGGAGACATACCAAAACTCGACATTTGCCTGATCTGAGTGTTCGGTTGAGTTGAGGTCCGATGGGAAACAAGCTCATCAGTCGTATTTATAGAAAACAATGCCATCCAATTGGTCTCTGTGCATTAATAAAAATAGGCTGCGAAATTGGATCTATGCTGAAAGAATCAAAAGGTGATGTCACCGACGAAAGCAGAGCTAAAACCAAGTCACGATGTCAACTTGTATTATTGCTCGCTCTCGGCTTCAACTTCTTCCTCTTCCGCCGTGGCTTCTTGATACTGTAGGATACATAGTCAATCAGCTGTCATATCGCGAGAAACAGGTAATATTCACCTGTTGATATTCTGATCTGTATTCATAAATATATAGCCGTCAGTGATGAACGAGAGGTATAGGTATGTACTTACATTAAATCCTGAGTGTTACTCTCCGCTTCGGTGAACTCCATGATATCCATACCCTCTCCTGTGTACCAGTGCAAGAACGCACGGCGCTTGAACATCAGGGCAAATTGGTCAAGGTTTCGCTTGAAGAGCTCTTGTATGCACGTGGAATTCGCAAGGGCTACCGCTGCCTGAGGTTGGCCCACAGGAGGCACAGAGCAAAGCGAAACGGACACGTTGTCGGGGATCCACCTAAAATGTGTCAGTGAAGTCTCTGCTAGACCAGCGCTTTGGCGTACTCCACAAAGAGATTCGAATTCTTGCGCTGGAGTTGCGCAACTGAGGTCTGCACAACGTAAGTACTGGGAATTTTCAACAGTGATGCACCATACCTCTGCCTGCAAAAAAGAGTCAGATGATATTCATGAACGTGTACAGCCGACGTACCTCGTGTGACGACACCTTGCCCCGGAAAATGCAGGCAGCAGTCAGGTACCGACTAGGATTGCGAATGTCAGCGAACCATCAATTCTTGGGCATCATAGGACATACCCAAATCGGGGATCCGAAGCAACCAAAAGATTCCTTCTGTCAAACAGCCTGCAGCACGATGAGCGATAACAGATTATCATCCATTGCCAGACTTACGATGAAGTGAGCTCGGATACAGAGAGCCTCTGGAATGTCCGAGCTTTTGGGTCGTAGAATGGCGCGAAACTCGGCATAAGAAAATGCAGCTGAAGCACGGAGTCAGACCAGGTAGAGAAGCATTTCATAAAACTCACACGAGGGAACGGGACGAGATTCATCCCGAGTTTCCGGAGATCACTGAGGCAATCGTCAAAGATGAAGTATTCACTCATTCATCAAAGGATTGCTTACCCGTTGAGCTGACCAGGAAACCTCAGACTAGTGCTGACGCCACACATGACCTTGGCTATAAGCTGGAATAAATATTGAACAACGCGACATGTATGTAAACCAGTGAGGCGTACTTGGTTCAGATCTTTATATGCAGGACTTTTGATTTTAAGAGTGCGAACGGCTATGTCATACCTGATTTCATCAGCGGTTAGCGAGCAACACAAATGGGGAAATCCTCACAAGGCCTCGTTGTCGATGCAGATCGTCAGATCGCAGTTATCAACCAGTTGATGTATAGAAAGAAGGGAGTTATATGGCTGACGTAGATCAGTGGCAAATCAGCCAACAAATGAAAGCCATATCTTACTTCAACAACAGTCTCGGAGACCTGCAATTCAACGTCAGTCATCAGCCTCACCTGGAAGATGTCAGCCACTGACATTGGGAGCAGGAAGGATCGAAAATGTAGAAAGCATTCGATCGGGATATTCCTATTCCCGGATCAGTATATGGTGCGAAGCAGGAATTGTTCGTAGGGCTGACCTCACGCAGCTTTGACAGAAGTAGAGAACCTAGACCAGCGCCAGTGCCACCTCCGAGCGAGTGAATTATCTGAAATCCTTGTAATGCCTCTGTAGCCTCGGTCTGCCTTCGAACAATGTCCAAGATGCCGTCAATTAACTCAGCCCCTGAGTTTCAGACATCAGGCCTCTAAGCGAGCGGATGGCAGCGATATCTCCGCACCTTCGGTGTAATCTAAGCAGCGTTACGACACATTATCAGATCATGAAGTACAATGAAACACGCGACTTACATCCTTTCGCCCAATTATTTCCAGCCCCTGAGTCGCCAGTGAAGTACGTATCTGGTCGGAACAGCTGACCCAGCAGTCCCGAACGAAGCTACAGAAAATCAAAACTTTGTATCGTAGTTAAAAAGAGCAAACTGACGCGATTGCAGACCCCGGTTTCAAGATCCACCTGAACACTTCGTGGGACGTACTTAGTGGGACCATTGGAGTCCACTTGGGTGAAGTATACGCCTGCCTGTGAACAACAAAGATCAGCAGTAGATAGCAAGTACCTGAATGATCACGAACTCGTGCAATTTGTTGAGGATCATTGCCTTTATACATCTGGATATATGCCGCCACTATATCAGCTTGTATCTATGTGGGCTGAGCCCAAGGCTTCAAACCAGCTGCGCACCCCAGCATCGTCGAGGCCATGCTCCGCTAAGAGCATCTTCCAAAACGCCTCTCCAACTTGATTTCCTGCCTGCGATGGTATTTTTCATGAACAACCCCGAACCCAGACTATGAGCGTCCACAATGATTCACCTGTCCGACCTATGGACAAACTCGGAATCAGGGCAGCGATCGCAAAGAGATACTTATCAACCAACTTGTATGTTCACTATTTCTCGCGACATGATGGAAAGACGAAAGGAAATCGATGACCAAGGAGGTCCGCAAAAGAGTTTGAACCAGAACTGGAACAGAACCCCAGGGTCCGAAACGCTACTATGATTCAAGGGGTTACATTCGGGAAATGCCGAACATCATGGGCCGTCCCATGTGACCGTGTCCCATTTACGCGTCGCGTGCCACGGTCTGGCCACCAACTTCCACTATGCGTTTCAGAGCCACCATAGAGAATGTCCCAATATTCTATCGTCAGTAATTATCCATACTACACGTTTAATTCTTCTAACTTGTTTTCAGGTCTCATACAAGCAGTGGAAAAACTGCAAAAAAAATGTATCATCAAGTTCACCGAGAACGAGATGCATGTCATCTGCAACGATGATGCAAACGAGGGTGGCATTCAAGTATGGTCGTGAGTTGTATGTGGCATCCTTCTGCCGCATTCAACTCATCTTCACCGACAGCGTCGTGAAAGTCGAGTCCATGTTCACATCATACAGAATCCAATCCAATGCAAACAATGAAATAACCGTGACCCTGTCTGCAGAAGCCCTCCTGTCAGCTCTTCGATCTTCATCTTCGTCAGCATCATCATCCTCTGTGGCAGCTTCCCTCATACCGACATACGACGCTGACGAAGTCGTCATGAAACTTGCAAAGAAAAACGACCAGGCCGTCTTGAGTTTCGAGATGTTCGGAATGTCCAGGTCAGGACGTAAAGTCCGCGTCGCACATGATGTACGCATAGACGTCATGCGGCCAGCAGAAGGTGACAAACTACACGAACCACGGTGCCCAGACCCAAATGTAGGTACTCAATTCATCTATGCGTGTTGTGAAAGCTGACTCACATCAGGTTCATATCTTGCTCCCCCCTCTACAAAAATTGCGCACAATCGTAGAGAGGATACGTCCACTCTCAGACGTACTTGCGCTACGTGCGAACAACAGCGGCACCCTTCAACTGTCCATCAGCACCGACACCGTGAAGCTCGAGACACAATGGGTTAAATGCGCCAATCCGTCAATGAGTGAGGAATATTATCCGCGCTGCTAGAAATAATTTTCTTAACTCCTCCTAGCCAAAGAAGGGCTAGTTCAGATCGATGACGATGCGGAGGACAATTCGCTGGATAAACCCGACCCTGATAAAATGTTTTGCGTGCTCGTGTCCATCCGCAGCTTCCTCAAATTTTTGAATAGCCATGTTGTATCCACGACCACCATCGCATGCACGTCTCCTCCTGCGCAGAACCGTTCCCTCTCACCGATACCTTTTCCATGCAGGTTTATGTCACAATCACTGTGCTATATTGTACGTCTACATCGGCGAGATAGCTGACGCAGGAGGCGTCCTCACGTACTACATTCCGACTGTCATCGATGGCGATGAATAATCCCCTGATTTTTTTTGTTTCGTGGTGAGCACGTCCGTACATGTTGCAACGCAATCTGATAATGCAAAGGCTATGTTTGTGGCTGACCAGCTGATAACGCGTTCAAGAGAGCAAATCTCCGTCCGAATGGTATCAACCAACACACTGACTGATATGACTACCTTATCACCAGCTCCGACAATCAACAATAATATATTTCAGGCAGGGGTCAGACGTTCATGGAGAATGACAGACGAAGAAACTAACACAATAGCCACCTAACATGTAATGTGAGTGATACAACAATATCACGCTATCCAGAATTGGCAAGAAAGTGATCCGCATTGTTATTCTTGTTGTACGACCCGCGACACCAGCACATAGTCCTAATTCCATGCCTCCGAGCACACCTTGTCCGGACGTCTGCTGTTCCGGCCCTTACAGTCTATCTTCCCGCAATCCTGGCACGCATTTAGACAAAACGTGCGACCGCCCTTGCCCTTGCAATCCTGCGAACCGCACTTGCAGCAGTGTCGAGTTCGCTTCTGCGATGGCTCTAGGATCGCTACTTCACTGGTGTTCTCTCCGTAGCCATATGCTCGCTTGAGCCCATTTGGCTCGCTTGGTGTGTGCGGCTGAGAAGTTGGCGGAGGTGGAGCGCTTTGAGTTTGGGGGTGTTGGGGGTAATATGAATACCCGGGATAGGCATACGACACATATGGGCCTGGTTGTCCAAAAGCAAACTGTTGTACCTGCGGCGGTGCCTGTGCCTGCGGCTGAGGCTGCGGTTGCGGTTGCACAGATGTGGATGATGATGCAACAGGATGGTCAGGTGTAACACTACCAATAGATGGTGGTGCTTGTGGCGGAACAGAATGACTCTGGACCGATGGGCCGGATTCCGCAACGCCGGAGTCTCCTTTCCAGGCATCGCTGAACTCGCCTGTAGCGTCCTGCTCGTGCTGTTAGTAGACAAAGGACAGAAGTCGGGTAGATGCATACTTGGTTATTGCTTTCAAGTACTCGACGAAAAATATCAGCGCCCGCACCACCGTAATCAGCATCGTATTCCTGATCTTGGTCCCTTTTCTCATCCGCAGGCGGGTTCTGAACGGCGTTGATGATACTGATGATGTTGTCCTTCGGCATTCCCACTTTAAGACAGGCTTTAACCATGTTCCAAAGCGTTTTGGAGACGCCGACGGCATGCCAATTCCAGACATTGGTTCCAGGACCCAGATCGGCGTCACCTTGTAACAACCGCGCTGGAAACTCTTCTCTCAGCCTCACAGGGAGTCCCTGCATAACAGACGCATCCGTGCTGGCGAACTTGCGTCCTTCAGGAGACGTGCTAGCGACACACGATGGACTTTTGCACGCGTACTCGCAGCCAATTATGAAGAAGGGCTTGTCGAGATCGTAAACCTTAACTGGGCCGCTTCGGATCCGACCTCGGTTTTGGAGAGTGCTCCCACATGCGGTGCAATGAATGCCAGCGAGAACGAGAGGTAGTGGATCCCAATATAAGAACCGATGCTCGGAGTGCGTGCCACGGGCGGTTGTCCGAGGCGCAATCAATGACAGATAAGATGGCGAGGAAGGAAGCCACAAAGTCCTGAGAACCGAGTAAAGAGAAGGAATAGGATGTGCATCTTTGTTCTGGTTTTGAGATGGCATGAGTGAAGCAAGGTGGGACTTGAAAGCTTCTTCAACAGTAGGACCTCCGCTGGCGATAGGATTGGGTGCAGCTATAGCTCCCAACAGGGCCTGCATAAGCACATTAGGCTTTGTACGTGCAAGTTCTGCCCATTCATCACGGTTAAGGTTCGGATCTATGGAAGGTTGATGGGCGTTCGTCGCTGTATTTCCACCATTCGTAACGGGAGGTGATGTTTGTGGGGCTTGAGGGGCGAATCCTTGCCATGGTGGCGGGATGCCCGGGTGTTGCGGATAATATGCCTATCAATAATGATCAATGCTTCGGTAACCTCGATCAAACTCCAACACACCCCAGGGAATGGCACACTAGGCGGCAGCTGTGGTGCATCTACACTCAGTTTTGCACTCGACCGTCGTTGTTGATTCGCTTTCCGAGCCCCGACAGATCCGGCAGGCAAGCCATCTTTGCGAGGGCGGCCTACCGGACGCTTGATCTTTTCGCTGATGATAGCGGGATCAGGAGCCTGTTTCTTCCCACTTCCTTTGGGTCGACCTGGTTTGCGTTTCGGGGGAGGCTCGCTAGGGTCTACCGCTGTATGACAAGGCTTAGCGAAAAGGAAATTCTGATATGAAGGAGAACGTACCCTGAACCATAGAAGCCGATTCTGTTGGCATGCTCGCCATAGCGTTGTCCATAGAGATTTTCTGTATACATATGAGCGTCGTTGAGATAGAAATGACGCATAAGTTGAAGATGTAAGATTGGAAAGATGATATCCCTGCAACAAAGACCGAATATACGACATAACCCAACACGCTAGAAAGTAGTTATCCAAGATAAAACAGTAATCTCGACAAGGAGATCGCTCATTGCACGGCGCAAAAATGAAGTTAAAAATGATAAAAACGCAGGAAAATAGAGCATGAATCTTTGATGATTGAAAAAGTAGAGCTCACCAGTTATGAACGGTAGTCTTTCTAGCTAGTTTATGGAGGGTTTCTTGTTAGCAGTTGCTAACAGCCTTATCCCCTGAGACGCTCGGCTGTGGTCGTGAGAAAGCGTTTAGGCGACATTTGCTTTTCGTGTTTTATTAGGTCGGAGCTTCAATTGAAACCTTAAGTAAATTCTTGCCTTTCTACCGTTTGACCGCTTTGCTGCTCATGATGCTATCGATTGGAGGTAAGTGAACAAAGATTACTCTGCTTAGAATCTTCCCTTCCCCAATTCCACGATGATCAAAACCGAATGCAATTAGGAAGTGCCGTCTCAAAGTTGTCTTACGATGACTGGTGTCGAAACTCGGTTCTCTGACTTATCATTTGACTCGGTCTTCATTTGAAAAATCGCTGATCTTTTTATCCTATAGGTGCTTATCATCTCCTCAAGAATTCGAATCGTATTCACTACAGTATGTTCCGTCTACATACAAATTGCAATTGCATTACAGTAATATTGTGTTTTGAAGTCTATAATATACGTCCCATTTTTCTAGTTGGACAGTTGCTTGATCTTCATGATAATGGCTGCAGGAACATCACGATCAGTATCGGCCAGCATCAACTTCAATAGCAAGACAAACCTTGAGGGTCAAGGTTTTGGTGAGGAATTTGCTCGGACAGACCACCGCAGCCTTCCTTCGTCGTTCCCATGTAGCCATACTTGGGCGTGAGCTGGCGTTCAATGAGCCAAGTACCCATCTTGGAACCAAGCTGAAAGAGATCGCATGCGTCAGTGTATAGCCGCGCATTTTATACGGATACATACTCCGGTCTTCTGGTTCAGTGACTCAACGACCAGCACGAAGGGACTTGAACCGATCTTCTTCAGCGTCTCCTCATCGACCAGATTCAGCGTAGGCTTGTTGATCAAGCCAACATCCAAGCCCTGCTGGCGGCAGCGCAGGACAGCGTCCCACGAGCGGTAGAGCATCTCACCGAAAGAGACGACGTATCCAGCCTTGCCCTCGACGATCGTCTCGTCCTTGCCAGGCACAAACTCGTAGCCGTCACCGAAGAACTTGGTACCGTCCTCCTTGAGGATGTAAGGCACCTTGGACCGCGTGGAAAAGACGAAGCGGAGTCCACGCTCGAAGAAGACGCGCTTGATGACAGCGACCATCTGCAATGGGTCGGCAGGGAAGTAGAGCCACGACTGAACATCAGAAAGGCCGTTGTCGGCGAAGAAGGAGTTGATACCAAAGTGACAGGTGTTGTCGGCCATCTATTGACAAAATTAGCCCAAGTTTCAGATCTAACACCGGTAATTCACACACCTCATCAACTCCAGAGTGCGAGAAGTGACTAAGAACGTTACAGTTGTTCAGGCGGGCCATGGTGACCTCAGAGATAACCATCTCAAGGAAAGCAGAGAACGTCGAGAAGACACCGAATTTGTTTGCGTCGAAACCGAAACCAGCAGCAGTCGAGAAGTTTCCACGTTCCATGATACCAGAGGGAACGAACACCTCGGGGTGCTTTTGGTGGATAACCTTGAGACCGGTGGAACCCTCGAGATCACCTTTTTAAAAATTAGCCAAGTTCCTGAGTTGGTAACTGGACTCACTGTCGATAACCATAACTTTCTTGGCAGCCTCCTCCTTGCTCAGCGTGTCCAGCACCAAGTTGACAGCTTCACCGAAGATGACACGGTTTGCGCCAACCTCCTTGGTGGAGCCAATGTATAAGTACGGCACAGCCGAAGGCTTAATGTTATTGAGGATGCCTTCCGAAACTGAGGCAGGGTATCCGCGCGCAGTAAGGTATTTGATGGCGGACTTTACGGGGATGACATCGTGCCCGTGAGTGCTGCCCTCAATGTCAGCAACACCCGGAGCCATAAGACGCTTGGCGATGACTAGGATCGCGGTCAGAACTCGATATATGCGCGGGAAAAGTCGTCGGGCTCACCAGCAGCAGGACCATCGTAGGTAACAACCGCGGCGATAGCGGCCCACAGGGCGTCAATGTCCTCACCCTGAACGGTATATACCTTGAGACCGTGACCCTCAAGAGTCTTACTGACGTCATAGCCCTTCAGGTACTGGGATGGGTGTCCCGCAATTGTAACGTCATTATCGTCGATCAACAACTTGACGTTCAAGTTCTGCGCGACAGCCAATCTGGCGGCCTCGGCGTCGTTTCCCTCCTGCTGGGAACCATCGGAACCGAGACAGAAGACAACTTTGTCCTTGTTTGCCATTGCGACACCGTTCACCATGGGCCACATGTGACCGAGACGGCCGGAGGAGAACTTGACACCAGGTGTCAGACCCAGTTCGGGGTGACCGGGCAACTTTGAGTTGGCTTCACGGTAGTGAAGGAGATGCTCAGGGGGGATGTGCCCATCGAGAGCAGAGAGGAGGTATTGAGTCGCGACACGGTGACCTTGATATATTTTTAGGTCAAGTCCAAAATATGTATAGATCTCTCTACATACCTGCCTCGTCGAAGACGATGGGGAGGTACTTCTCTGAAGCCTCGAACAAGCTGAGGAGGATGCACACCTCCGGGATCGTGTCATATGCTCCACCTGAAGCGAATTGTAAGCGAGTTGTAAGCCATCTAAATCGATGCTACAAACCAGTGTGCCCGCTCACTCCCCGGGCTGCACCTGTCGCAGTAAAGAGCACAATAGCATCACGGAGAAGCTGGATGTTGTAGAGCAGCGTCGATTTCTGTTCTGCAGTCAACTGGGGCTTGGAGGGGTCAAGAGTCAATCTAATCGCATCATAAACCCGATTAAACACAAATTCCAAATTTACTGCAACAAGAATATCACTGACTTTCTGTACTTCTTGAGATCAATTGGGAACGTGCTCTCTGTGCTAGACATTTTGGAGGATCAGGTGCTAGTAAGTATTCGTGGTTGGAATGATAAACAGCTGATCATTCGATCTTGCCCAATCCCCAGCTTTATCAAGCTGAGCGTGTGAACTTGCAATTGCGGGCCGCGCTGCTAGTGACGAACTCACGCAACGAAAGGAAACGTTCGAAAGCATTTCACAAGGAGAGTGCACTCAGCTAGTCCCGGAGTAAGGCTAGCGTGTACCATTTGCTCACAGCACCGGTTCATTAGTGCTTTCGATGGGAGAACAGCAACTACCGTGAGCACGTTCACATTTGGATTAGTGTCCATCTTCCCAGTCATGTCAGCGTCTTCGCAGTCTCATGAGTACCGGTAAAACTTATGTGAGTGTCATTTCTGCCCTCTTGCGAGTTTCCAGGGAACGAACGAGACTTTGCAGAGATACCAGACACGTTCAATGAGAGAGTAGTCGGCCCGAGAATGTCACTGATATTCCCCGGGCGCGTTTATCGGAACCTACATCCTTTTCAAGACCCTAGCTTGAATGGTACAGGAACCTGGCAGTGCCCCTGACGAACTATGGCCGATCTATCGCGGCCAAGTGAAACGTCAATCAATCGCACGTCCCCGAGCTATCTGCGCTGCCCACCAATGTCAGCCCAACTATGTAAGGACTCGGTATGGCCTGTAACCCGGAATGAAAATAAGGTTGTGGTTTATCGCGCTAGCTTATCGCATGCTAGGTTGCAGATTATTGATGTCGCTACACCTTCCCAAGTGGATGAGATGGCTGAGCCGAGTTCTAAACGATCCTGGATCTCTCAATATGCAGCATGCATTGCTTGGACTTGCATAACTTATCATGCATAGATAAAACTGGTTCGCAAAAGTGGATGTCTTGGTCCTGGGGTTTGGATGTATTGATGGCTATATCACATCATCAATGCTCCTAAATTCCATATCCATATTGTGATGTTTGATGATGACTATGCACGATCATCGATACCAGTATCATCGCTCACACTCATCATTTCTACTGCTGGTGCGAAGGAGATTGTTCAAATCGGTCTCATGCTAAACTGCACATGGTTATATCGGAGCTCATAACAATAAGCCTGATCAGTTGGTTGAAGGTCATGGGTTGGCAGTGCAAAACATGTTCTTTGGATTGCGAAAGGGGAGTGATGGCGCTTCAAACGTTAAAAGTTTCCATGACTCGCGATCGACAGACCAATTCAAATGTCAGGCATCCTATCTTGCGAAACGATAAGAGTGGGCGATGAAATAGAAGGCGAAGGTTCTGCACGATGTGAGTCCACGCGTGTTTCAATCAGGTATGGATGTTGAATAAGTAAAGAAGGAAGACACTCGATCGCGACTTCTCGATGGAGGGATTTCCCGCATTGTGATGTTGTGCATAGTGTGGGCAAGTATAATATTACGTAATGAATAGATGTTGAGTTGCTGCATCTATTCGAGTTGCCATCAATCACCTTGGTAAACCGAAGGGCCTGAGCGCTGAGCGCTTGAGCGGTAAGTACTAGCCTCGGTATTTGAGGTGATCTGGCACTGCTGCTTGGTAATAGATTCACAGCCTTTTCATTTTCGCACTAGGTCGAAGCTAAGCCTTGTATGTTCTGGTCTTTCTGCGCAAAGGCGGATTGCAGGCGGAAGAGCCGGGAAGACAGTCGAGCCGCGCAATGTTACCAAATGCAGCTAGCGTCTTTGTTAATACGCTGGCAACTTTTTCGCGAAATCAGTGTGGTGCTTTTTGGAAGCGGTGCAGTCTCTCAATGGGGTTTGCTCGACCAAAGCCTGGATCCACTTAAGTTGACCGGGCAACAGCACGATACGGAGCCTTGCCCGCTCTCCTTTGGGTGAGATACGCTCACTCTGCTTTAAAAGGCATATACCCTCTGTTCTACGATGGTCACGACATTGAAGAGGGAGCTCCAGGATATCGTTCAGTATCGCAATGCCTACTTCCTTGCGTTTTCGGCGACCACAGGATACGTCTGCTTCGGATGGGACATTGGTTTAATAGGTGGTGTGCTCGCATTGCCGTCATTTCAAGAGTATTTTGGTCTGCTCTCGGAATCAGCGTCTGCACGTGCCAGCTTGAGCGGAAATATTGTTTCGGTCCTGCAAGCAGGCGGATTGTGAGTGCAGTTCAGTTCAGCACTTACACAATTAGACTCAAGTCATCAGTTTTGGGGCATTATCTTCGAGTTACTTTTCGAGTCGATTTGGGAGGAAGCCTATCCTGTTAGCTTCTGCAATCATCTACCTCATTGGAAGCATCATCCAGTCAACGACCGGAATTGGAATGTCGCCAAGTGTCGGACTGAAAGTCTTGTACTTCTCTCGTTTCTTCAGTGGCGTCGGAGTCGGTTTGATGTCAGCGCTGGTGCCGTCGTACGTGTCTGAATGTGCGCCGAGAGCTATACGCGGTCGATGTACAGGCAGCATCGAAGTCGCTGTGGGATTGGGAAATATGCTGGCTTGTAGGTTACATTCTGGACCTGCGAATTTTACCTGACCGATAGTGTATAGTTTGGGTCAACTATAGCGTCTCTCTCAACATTTCACCAGGAGAAATGCAGTGGCGCTTGCCATTCATTGTCCAGATTATACCTGGGGCACTCTTCCTGTTTTTTATGCTTTTCCAACCCGAGTCTCCCCGTTGGCTTGTCGAACATGGCCGCTACGAGGAAGCAGCTGCAGCCCTCGCATATATCACGAGGAAGAAACCCTCTGATGATGCTGTCGTGCTCACTCTCAGCGAGATCCGTGCTGATTTCGTTGGGAAGCACAAACTGTCGTTGCTCGCACAATTTCGCAAGATGGGAGAATCGAAAGTCATAGCTCTGCGCTGCATCATCCCTTCTATCGCCACCTTCTTCCAGCAGTGGTCCGGCACGAACGCGATCAATTACTACAGTCCTCAAATATTTGCCGGCCTCGGTTTTTCATCTACTTCCTCGACCTTATTTGCCACCGGTATCTATGGTGTCGTCAAATTTGTTGCGACATGCATAACTCTTGCTTTCGTCATCGAAAGTTGGGGTCGGAAGAGGACTTTGATTTATGGCGGCGTAGCGCAGGGTTTGATGATGCTTTGGATTGGTGGCTACACTGGTGTCCACCCAAAACAGGATGTTGTACCAGCAACCTACGTTTCTATTGTCGCCGTATATCTCTACGGCGTCTTCTTTTCTCTAGGATGGGGATTTACTCCCCTGGTCCTCGGCTCTGAAGTTGCCCCAGGCCATCTCCGTACGGCCGTTATGTCCCTTGCATCCGGAATGACCTGGCTGTTCACCTACGTCATCACCCAAATCACGCCCACCATGCTCGACCGCATAACCTATGGAACGTACCTTGTGTTCGGCGTCGCTTCATTTATAATGGCAGTATGGGTGTATATCTTCATACCCGAGACGACTGGATACCCATTGGAAGATATCAAATATTTGTTCGAGCAGGACATCATTGTTCGCTCGCTAGAAGACGCCCCTGGGGGTTGGATGTTCCTTGGGAGCCGCCGCGCCGTCTCCGTAGAAGAGCTGAAAGCCCTCGATGCACTTCCGCCGAATAGTCCCAAGGAGATTTTGGAGGAGTTGAGGTCGGGCTCGGAGGAAGAGTCCGCACAGGGTCATTCCCTTAGAAATTCACAAAAGTTGGAGGATCCTCTCATCATATGAACGCAGTATATTATAAATCCATGTGTGTATATCTTTTTTATTGTTACGCATCTATCAAATGAAGGGCTAGCTTATGTATTGGTTATCTAGCTTTACTTGTTGATGCGATAATCTGTAGTAACCATTGATTCCGGATGAAGTCAATTTACTTACGATAATGTCATCTTTGGTCATTGTACGTGTTCAACATCCACCAGAGGTTTGCGGGAGAACTTCCGACAAACTTTGATGACGAATATAAATCCCCTATCTAGGTAGCATCCATCCAGCAACTATCCATCCGAGACCCAAACCACTTGATCAGAGGTGTCACCTGGCCCACAGATAATAATACCTCATATTCCAAGGCTAGGGTAGGTGTCGAGTGTTGTTGATGGCCGCGGCGTCGTGCGAGAAGCAGGACTCCTTTCAGCCGTAATACTTTTTCTCTCAACGTACAGTGGAAGGAGCCATGGAAGTGGACGTATAGGGGACATTATTCCCTATACAAGCATGGAAACTACACGTATCATCCGATCTCCGGTACGTCGTGTCCAGAAGATGTCGGAAACCTGACGGAAACGCAGAAAATCCGCCATCTGCAGAAACTTGTGCCAGAAATGTTGCAGAGAAGTACCCCGCGTATAATTTATGCACAAAAACTTCCGCCACGTTTCCGTCATTGGAAATTTTGGTCATGAGGAAGGGCTATATACATCTTTGCCCGTTGGTGAGAAATTCTGCGGTGTCTCGATAGGATTGGCTTATTCAAAGCCAGGATCATATTTAAGCTGACCACGCAGATGATGATACAAAGGCTTCTGTGCTCAGGGCCTTTGTGCGAGATTCGCTCTCTGGTGAGCGACATACACACTCTGTTTTCCGATGGCCGCCAAATTGGAGAAGGAACTCCAAGAATTCATTCAGTATCGCAATGCCTACTTCATGGCTTTCTCTGTGGCAACAGGATTCCTTTCCTTTGGCTGGGACGGCGGTATGCTGGGCGGTATTCTTGCGTTACCATCATTTCAAAAATATTTTGGTTTGCTCTCGGAATCAGCTTCTGTGCGCGCCACCTCGAGCGGAAATATTGCTTCGGCCACGCTAGCAGGAGCCTTGTGAGTACATCTTTCAGTTTCAACACTTACACAGTTAACGTCACGTCATCAGGTTCGGGTCATTATCTTCAAGCTACTTTTCAAGCCGATTTGGGCGGAAGCCCACCCTGTTAGCTTCAGCAGTTATCTCCATCGTTGGAAGCATCATTCAGGCAACAGTCGGAATCGGAATATCCCCACATGCCAGATTGCAAGTCTTGTACTTCTCTCGTATCTTCGGTGGTGTTGGTATTGGTTCGTCAGCAGCTGCGATGTCGTCATACATACCCGAATGTGCTCCAAGAACCATACGGGGTCGATGTCAGGGCAGCATAGCAGTCGCAGCCGCACTTGGAAATATGCTGGCTTGTAGGTGTCACTAGCAGACCTGTGGTATATTGCCTGACATAGAGAGTGCATAGATTGGGTCAACTACAGCGCTTTGCTCAACATCTCACCAGGGCAAATGCAGTGGCGCTTGCCATTCATTGCCCAGCATTATACCTGGGGCGCTCTTCCTGTTTCTTATGCTTTTCCAACCCGAGTCTCCCCGTTGGCTTGTCGAACGTGGCCGCTATGAGGAAGCAGCTGCAGTCCTCGCATATATTGCAAGGAAGGATCCGTCTGACGATGCTGTCGTGCTGACTCTCAGCGAGATCCGTGCCGATTTCGTCGGGAGGCACAATCTTTCGCTGCTCGCACAAATCCGTAAGATGGGAGAATCGAAAACCATAGCTCTGCGTTGCATCATCCCTTCTCTCGCCATGTTATTCCAGCAGTGGTGCGGCTCGTTCGCGATTAGTTTCTATACCCCTCAAATATTCGCCAGCCTCGGTTTATCACCTACCCTGACGCTGTTGACCACCGGCATATTGGGTGTCGTAAAATTCATCGTCGCATGCATAACCTTTACCTTCATCATCGACAACTGGGGTCGGAAGAAACCCCTTATATATGGTGGCATAGTGCAGGGCTTGATGATGCTTTGGATTGGTGGCTACGCTGGTGCCCACCACGACCAGCGCGTTGTGCCAGCAACGTACATTTCTGTTGTCGCCATATTTCTCTACAGCATCTCCTTTGGCTTTGGCTGGGGATTCGCTCCCCAAGTCCTCAGCTCTGAAGTCGCCCCAGGCCATCTCCGTACAGTCGTCATGTCCCTTGCATCCGCAATGATCTGGGTGTTTACATATGTCATCGCCGAAATCACGCCCATCATCCTCGAACGCATGGCCTATGGAACGTATCTCGTGTTCGGCGTCATTTCATTTATAATGGCGGCATGGGTGTATGTCTTCATACCCGAGACGACTGGGTACCCGCTGGAAGATATTAAATATCTGTTCGAGAAGGACATCATTGTTCGCTCGCTAGAAGATGCACCTGGGGGCTGGATTTTCCTTGGGAAGCGTCGCGCCACCACCGTGCACGAGCTGAAAGCCATGAATGCATGTTCAACAGATAGTTCCAAGGAGGTTTGGAAGGAGTTTATGTCGCATTCGCGCGAGGAGTCAGCGCAGGGCCATTCGCTGAGTTCACAGAAGCCGGATGGCCACATCATATGAATGCTGCATGTTTTGAAGGTTACATAAATATCTCTGTGCGAGTGTATCTTTCTTGTTGTTACGTCGTGTTACACATATATGTCGATGAGTATGTATACGTATTAGTTATCCAGCTTAATCGCCGATGACCAGAAAATTCCCTGGTAACCTTGGTAGACGCCTTTAACACTGGGTATCGAGGGAGAACTTTCAACATAAATTAATGGCTGACAAGGACTGCGAAAGCGATCGAAAATCCCCCTATGCCTCGCCAGTAACCAAAGCTGCTTTATGCGCCTGTTTGCAGGCAGGCTTTCCGTTGAGATGCCTCTTCAAAGCATCCGGTCGTGTAATCGTGTGTTGGCAACCCAAGCATGTATGTTCGGGAGGTCAATGTCTAAGGGACTGCCGGCGACGTGCAAGATCGGTGATACTGTAACACACCTGGCTGCAACCGTCGAGTAAGCAGGGGAATAATGTTTGTTTTGGGCCAGCGGCGCTCCTTCCTCCCGATGCTGATGGCTGATATTCAGCATCATCTGATCCGCGAGTAGGCGTGAAAGTGTTGCATGAGGAATATAGCTTGCGGATTGTGGCTGTCTGCTCGTCACTAAGGCATTTTTACTTTTTATTGGCACGCTGGGGCATTGCGTATTCTCTTTGTGACTGCAGCCTGGATGCCGGGATCGCGGTCATTCGAAATAGAGGTTGGAGTGCGTGAAGGGGGAAGGCTAAAGGGTTCCGAGACATGCCGCTGGGTAGATTGAGATAAGGCAGTGTTGTGACCACTAGAAAAACAGGAAGACTGTCTTCCGCCCGATATCAAATACACCGAGACATTAATATTATCATATCCGTCATCACTCTTCACATCGGATGTAGGAGAAGAGGCAAGGCTATCTTCATCATCAGACCAGTACACGGGACTGAGAGAAGAAGCCGGAAGTGTTGGTAAATCCTGTTTGAAGCTATGCGACTACCATGTCATTGTATCCTCTGTCGAGTAACCGCAGTCATCCAGTTCGTTATCGGCATCAGATAGATGATCATCGAATTGGGTGCCAATTGGTCCGTCAACGGCCAAGTTATTGCTTCCCAGAATTAATAAGGATCCAGACGCTGATTGGAGCGCTGGATCCTCTCCACAATCCATGGATGGGATGTAGGGGACCATGATGTTGACCTCACTTGGTATTACAGGCACGGCACCACGGCACTCCTCATAAGACGAACGACGAGGGCGATAGCCAGGCCTGTCCCATGCTATTCCCATATCACAAGGTGAATTTTCTATCACGCTGGCGAAGCAACGGGATCGTTCCCGGCCAAAACCCTGAGGATGTGGATAATGGCGCAAGTCCCAGGCACGAGCCACAGCGTCGTAAAGCTGCGAATATGAGGTCACCATTCGTGACACATAGATAATCCAGCTTACACTGTCCGAGGGCTTGAAGGATGCTAGCTCTTTATCCATGGTAGAAACATCAAAGTAGTTATGCAAGGTGCAACTGTACCCGGTTGTGGTGACCTGACAGGCGTAGTGAATATTCTCTTTCGCAGATGCAAATGGCACCATCGCGGAGGTCGAGGAAAGCTATATGAGTATTGCAGAGATGTATGTTGTTCAAGTTGGAGCAGGATGAATGCGAAAGATGCGAATTTATACGTCAGTCTGTGCCAAGTTCCAACTTACAATGATCCTTTCAAGTCTTTCACAGATCCTGAGTCCTGACACGAGGGCAGTATGAGAAGCACTACTAGCACAGAGACATCCACCGCAGCGCACTTGAACAAAGGAAGCCTCGCAAAAAAGGTCGCAAAAAATGTCCCTTTATGTAGGAAAGTTGGATCGAAGTTGACCATCGATTCACTTCGAAGTTTGAACCCAGTCACGGTGTGTTACATATGCACCCCTCACTAGTCCCCTGCAGGGCAGTCGTTCCATCTTTTTCAAGATCGCCCACGTCTGTAAACCGTCCAGTGTTCACAGGAGTCCTGAACAGTTTTGTGATAGGTCGAGCAAGAATCGACTCAGATGGCAACTCGATGGTAATAGTTGGAGTAGGAACTACCCGGTATGGCATCAGCAGGTGTAGCATTCCAAATGCGGCTACAGGTTAGGCTCGTGACCAGCCTGGCTTACACTACCAGTTGCCGCTTTGGCCCGAACAGAGGTAGTGCGAAACTTATATAAAACACATGGCAACACGGTAGATACTGGTTTGATTGCAGCCTTGCCACATAAATAATAAATTTAACCTACATAGGGTACACATGCGGTGTTTATGAAAGGTTTTATCCTGATCCTGGCTGATAACTTGGTCACAGCTAAAAATCCGTCCAAATCAGGGCCAGTACAGACCCTTTGCGGTACATATATCGGACATATCAAGGTCAGTCATATAGAACAGTCGAAAATCAGACCCTGTATTAGACCTGTGACCTAGCTGGTGCTAATATGTAAGCGACCTGTATGGCTGATCCTCACATCTATGTGTGTACGCCGCAACCACCGCATCCACGAAAGCACTGACAGATGAACTATCTAGATCACAATCTTGGGCGATGGGAAGCGTCTCAGTGGCAGCATCACACTGACTCGGAGGCATCAAACAATGGTATCATTGGCACAGTAGTAGTACACACGATGCAGACTAATATCTAACCAACAAATATGTATCAGCGAACAAACGAGTGTCCTAGAGTTAGTTGACAGCAACAAGAGGGAAAGGGTAAAAGAGTGCAGTATGTCTGCTAAATTTGGCCCATATATCACTGAGCAGAGCCAGGACAGATTGATCGCCCTCTGTTTTCACATCACTCGGCTGTCCCAACCACTCCTTAATAAATGTCCCCTCCACAGGAACTCGAGGGTCCCACATTGGCCATTTGCCTCCAGGAAACAAAGGGTATGCTGCGACGAATGTAAGCCAAAAAGCATCGCGTCCCCATGTCCACAATTGAGACCTGATGTCTACTTCAGTCACCAACCATCTTTTGATCTCCCTCGATAGCGTGGCCCATTCCATCGGATTAGCATAGTTGAAGGTTTCTCGAAGTGGGAGGAATGGAATAACGACATCCTCTTGGGAGGAAAGATTATTGTCGGCTTGACTGGGAGTGAACTGGGTGAGGTAAGATCCAAAAATATCTAGTAAAAAATTCAGAACTCACGTCATCTATTAGTGGTGAATTCGGACGAGTGGGGCAAAGATCCACTGATATGGCCTCCATAACTGGGGAGGTAAATGGCCCATATTCTTCGGCAACAGAAACTGAAATATGGACAGGCTATCATGCATAATAATGAGCAAGTGTATCGACGACGGCAACAACAAGTACTCACAATATTCCCTTGAATTGTCTGCCTTGGGAGCCTGCCCGGAAAACACATGGTAACGAGGATGCGCTGCCATGGTGCACCATCGGAATCATCAAACTGACCCCCTGGACTGATAACGGTCGAAAAGTGGGTAACTTGGTTGGTCATTGTGGAGAGTTGATGAGGACCAAGCTGTGATTGAAGACATCGCGTCATGGGACTTCAGACTTGTTGATTTCAAGGGTGAAAACTCACGTGACCACATCACCAGCGCCTCAGAGATTGAGCATCAAGTCACCGAGTCGAGGCTTAAATATCAGTTCGGCATGACACTGAATAACGGAGACTTGGTTGATGGTATTAGTGTGTGTTCTTTCATCTCGTTGTATGAATGTTCTACTGACTTGGTGCTGCAGTCCTTCAATATTCTGATAATACTCAAAAGCGCGTCCAATGCACGGTGTGCCCTCTCAAGAATGGCAAATGTCATTTGATGGAGTTTCGGCATATCTCAAAACACATAGCACAAGGAATCCACGTCCGTTACGCTCAAAGAAAACGCTTCAAGCAGCACCAAAAAGTTGACCGGGCACATACTAATGATTTCATTGCTGCTGATGACTTCTTTGATACCAATGACTCTCCGATGGACGTGGATTTCTATGACGTGCTACCTACTGATGCGCTATTAGGTGCGCTACCATCCACAGCACCCGTGCCAGTGGCAGATAATGGGCACTCCGAATCCGAGCTTTTGAACAAAATGATTGGCAACCGCACGTTCGGGTTCGACAAGGGTCCTTTGGACTTATTCACAGAAGTCAAGGCAATTATCGCTTCGGGAGAAGTACCCTTCTCAACACCACTTGCCCCGATCAACGACGAGCAAGAACTTTCTGACGACAACACACCTGATTTTGGGATAGAGCTCCCTGGTGAGTGACTTTATGATTAATTCTGTGGGCCTTATACTCAATCACATTACTAGATGATATCCACGAAAGAACGAACATCAAGGACACTGTCTCGCTGGACAATCCAGCGTATCCCTGGCCATCAAAAGCGGTTTGTTTCTCTTTGTGTTAGTAAGATTGTAGCGCTTAAATTCCCATCAAGCATTTCGTGACCTCTCTCCTTTTCAGCTCTCCGCGTCTCCCATTTTCTGATGCCCAGAAGAGGGCAGTCCTCAGTTGGGTGCAAGAGCTCGGCGCTCGAGATGTCCCCTCACTTGGCGCCATCAAGAAATCCCATATGTATCTGGATACTCTTGTCGGCGATCCGACAGAGAAGGTGACAGCTCGTTCTGGGAATGTATTTTACATCAATGATGTTGCGAAATTGATCGCAAAGGTATGTCCAGCGTGTTTTTGTATGTAACGGCAACTGTGACACCAAGATCTAGGACTATGCAAATCCACTAACTCATTTTGCAATGCAAGACTATCCGGAAGATAGCGGGGAGGGAATGTCGCAAGTGTTCAACGGCAAGAAGATGTTGCTTGATCTGCCCTCACCACCTGCAGTTCGTGTGGATGGAATGATCTATTTCACAGGTGAACTATTACAGGATGATTCTGGAGGGTATTTTATACCGGAGCGCTTTTTTCATGCCGCGCTGCCTGCAGATTTGAGTGACGGCGACTCTGACCCATGCGAGCAGTCAGATGAGAAGGCCTTATATGCACTTGGTCGGGTGGTCGAACGAACGGAGGTATGTCTCCTGGTTGTGAACCTATCTAGATATACAAGGTCCTCACTGTATTAGGCCAGATTCATCGTTAACGAGGAATGTGAGATTATTCCGACATCTGCGTTCATGTGATCGTTTGAAGAGATTGCTGCAACTCCAGGTGAACTTGATTGTGGCCTCACGCGTGCGTTGATTTGCATTCATTGCATCAGTGACTCAGTACTCACACAACACAACAGCTTCATCGGCCAAATATGCATCGCTTTCTCCGAATCCGCTGCATGAGAAGTCTAACGGCCGGATGGTCCATATGGTTCCCCTCCTCATTTTTATGGACAATGTTTCTGGCAATGTCTCAAAGCAATGGAACAAACACCACACAATTTACATGTCAAATGCCAACCTACCACGTGAGATGCTCAAGAAGGAATTTTTTGTGTGATTTGTCACGTCTTCACCGCACGCTGCTCCTATGGAACTTATGCGGGCCATGAAAGAGTCTATATGGTATGTTGTTTCCTCGATCTGCTAAAGTTGAAGTTCTGACTCAATCTGCAGTAACGCTGCCACATCTGGTATTGTCGCCTGGGATTGCAAATACAATGAAGAGGTTTTGTTGATTCCGTATGGGCTTTTCCTGGCTGGAGACAATCCCATGCAAGCAGAAGAATGTAGCCACGCGGGCTTAAACTGCAACTATTTTTGCAGGACTTGTGATATTGGTGGGACGAAAGAACACAAGGCGTCTGGTGATGGGTACAGCAGCCTTTTCATGGTAGGAATATATTTGAACTACATTCTAATACCTAATGTTGTACTTGCAGTCGGGCAATCTACGAACCCCCGAAAATACGATGGCAGAGATCCGACAACAGTTTGAGATTGCGTTGAAGTCAGGAGCATCGGAGAAGATCAAGAATTCAGTGTCATCGACTGGTGTTTGCGATTCCGCTTCTGGTTTGATCCTTAACGCATTAGTGGAACTCGGGAAGAAACTTCGAAAGTGTGCGGCCAGCACCCAAGCAATGCCTGAAGCTGAAGTTACAGCTGTCCTTGAGAAAGAGTTTGCGGAACTTTTGCAAGGCAACAAGCTTGATGACACTATTAACCCGTTGTTGGGGATGGAAGGTTAGTTTAGTACTCTAGTGATTTTGAACTCTCATTCACACTTTTGGCAGGTCTCGATATACACTTGGACACTCCGACGGAAATTCTGCATACAATACTGCTTGGCATTGTCAAGTATTTTTGGGGGCAAACCGTTTTTTTGCTTGACAAGGCAAAGCTCATGGGCATCTTTCAGATCCGTCTCAACTCTGTTGATAAGGACGGACTCAATGCTCCATGCTTGAATGCAGACTACGTCTGCCATTACAAAGGTAGTCTGATAGGAAAACATTTCAAAAGCTTGGTGCAAGTGATGCCATTTTTAATTTATGACCTCGTCCCTTTGACTGTTCTCAATGTGTGGACTGTGATAGGAGAACTCGTTGTACTCGTCTGGCACACAAAAATTGTAAATACAGAAGCTTATCTTGTAGGTTTATGCAGAAATATTCAACAACTTCGATTCTCATCCTTTTCTAGGCAAAGTTGTCTCGAACGATTCAAGATTTTCTTAATGTCACAGTGCAGTGCGCGCCCAGCATCATTATAAGCAAGCCCAAATTTCATTTCTTAGTCCATCTCCCAGCGTATATTCGGCATTTCGGACCAGCCATGATATTTTCAACAGAACGATACGAATCCTTCAATCATGTATTTTGTTTGTCGTGTGTATACAGCAATCGCCAGGCACCAAGCCACAACACTTGCCGAGTATTTGCTCATCAAGATGCCATCAAGCATATCGTCACTGGCGGGTATTGGTATGATAACAAAGCCTCGAAATGGGTCCGGGGAGGAGCACAAATTCTAGGGTATCTTGACGAACACCCAGAGCAAGCACAATTGCTTGGGTTATCAGTCTTCAATCGCAGTACTCCGATACCTGGTAAACCTAGCCCACTATGTTCACTCTATCGCTGTTAATTCTTTTCACATAGGTTCCAGGAAAACTCAGACTACTCTTGGCACTAACAGAAAAACAGCAAGAGATAACACAGTGGCCTGGAACGAAACTCATTGCTGGAAGATTCTAAAGACTGCGCAGCCTGGCGTTGTTTACTATCAAGGCAAATCGGTTGTAGCGAGGGAAGGGGATGTCGCATATCTGAATAGTCATGTTATCTTCCGTCGAGCAACAGATGGACAGGTGAGCAATTTCTTCACTGCAGGACTCCTGATTAATGCGGAGATATTGTTAGACATGTGTTGGACGTGTTCACGAGATCCTCATGTCATCTGAGAATCCCAACACTGTTGTTCACAGTTGGACTCCAGCTCTTTTCGTTCACAGACGCTTTGCACGCTTCTGTCCATCTACCCTGTCTGAACCTGACCGACGATGAGATTGTCACGACGGCGGTGGTAAATTTGATATCCTATGACTGTGTGTGCTGTTTCTGACCCTTGCACTATAGGATATCATATGTGTTATCAATCTCCAGCACAACTGTGTTGATTCACAGTGTACAGAGACCCTCCAGCAACCTGTGCGCCAAGAACGGCTCGAAACTTCTCGTATGAAACCTATCATTCGGCACAAGTCAACCCCACACTACTTCATCAACGCCTACTCTATTCATAACTACAATCATATCCATCTTGTAATTCCCGAGACGCTCCGTGAATCGCCACTGAGAGTTACGAATGTGGCAGAGGTTCAGGAAATGGCCGTGCGACAAATGAAGCAGAAGAAGGCTTTGAAGAAATCCGGTGACACACCCCAATTAGATGACCATATGGAGCACAATACCCAGGTCCCTCTGGTTGCAGTTCCTACCTTTGATCGGGCCCCTCCCAAGTCAAGGACAACTGTGAAATCAAAGGCAAAGGCAACCACTTCCAGCACACAAAGGAAGGCAGCAACATCGAAGACCAGTCAAATGATTGCCGGTCCCTCTAGCCAGCTTCCATCTGTCCAGCAAGATTCAATGGTTCACGTTTTAGATCACCAAAATCAAGCTCACTTTGTGCCGCCACCAGGATTCCCTCCCCCCCAATACTACCACCCTCCTCTACACCATTCACAACTTCCTCCACCACAGTTATATGGTCCTGCTGCCACCAGCTCCGTATCTCTACCTAGGGGGCTCACAGCAACGTCACGAGGTTATAGAAAGGTCGTATACCAGTAAGTTCTTCGTCGTTATTATAGCATCAAAATTCTAACTACACCTAGGCTATAACATGTACCCAAATCAACCTGGGCCGCCGCCGCAGCAACAGCAGCACCTGTACTCCCATCTACACCCCCACCCACAATGGCAACAGCAACAGCACCTGTACCCTCATCCACACCCCCACTCGCAACAGCAACACCAACAGCACCCTCATCCACACCCCCGCCCACAGCATTAGCAGCAGTAGCACACTGCACTCCTCCGTCATATCATGATTGCAGCTCCTCTGCCGTTTTTCGTCAACCCATACCGCAGCAGCAGCACGCGGTTCACCAGATGAAGCTGCACTCCTCCGTCACCATCGCAGCTCCTCTCTGTGCTTGTCACCAACCCGCACTGCAGCAGCACGGCTCACTCACCAGACGAAGTTCCACCCCCCCATCACAATCACAGCTTCTTTCTGGCATCTGTCGCCAACCCACACTGCAGCAGCAGCAGCAACAGCAACAGCAACAGTGTGGCTCACCGGGCAAAGTTTGATCCCTCCATCATGCTCATAGCTCCTCTCTGGTGTCTGTCGCCAACCCGCACTGTAGCAGCAGTAGCAGTAGCGTGGGGCTCACCAGATGAAGCTGCACTCCTCTGTCACGATCACAGCTCCTCTGTCATTTTCGCCAACCAGCAGGAGATGGTGCGCTGGGCTGGTTAGAGGGACCTACAGTAATACAAACATCCTCATCGGCTTGGCGCTTTATGCCCGGGCTAAATGCAGCTGGAGGTTCGGAGGGAGATGCAGTAGGTGGCCTGGGAGGCCACGGGCTGGGCTTCTGCTTTGGTGGTGGAGTAGGTGACGGCGCCATGCTTGTTGTGGCAGTAGCAGTAGGGATGGAGGGACTTGGCGGCATACACACAGACTGCAGCGGCAGCAGCAGCAATGCACAATTCCTCAGACTCAGCTGACTCCTCCGTCACGACCACACCTCTGCCACTGTGTTTGCAATTCTTGCCTGCAGCCTTGTGAATGTACTAGTCGTATATATACTCTGTACTTATAATAGTAATTTGTACACCATCCCCCCCCCCCCCCCTTTCTGCGTCTGCAGCACCGTCTGATTTGCCTTGATGCATGACAGTTGGAAAATCCCTGTCAGGTGAATTGAATTGAATTGAATTGAATTAACGTAAACTCAATTAAGGGTGCTCTTGGCTTTTAACGAAGTTTGAATCAACTTGCAGCATTGGTTGTCCTGCTCCTTCACTGTCTGCAACATGATCTCACATTATCCTGTGCGTGCTCAAGCCTCCAAGGGCGGGAGGCCACAAGCTAAGCAGACAACAGCAAATGGTCTACTCACACCTAGTGGCAGCCTGCTCAGACGAGGCAGGAGCGTGTCAGTCAGCAGCAGAGGATCTCGACCGCCTTCAGCATGTGGTTCACAACCGCGTGGTAATATCAGTCGTGCATGCTCACCTCTAGTAGCCCACCTGCCATTGGCCCCAACAAGTGTTCATTCACTTTGCGAAACTCAGGCTGCTCAGATCGCTGCCATAGCTCCCTTGAGCATCCCATGTGCACCGTCATCTGATGGCTCCTTTGACGAGCCTATAACTGCTGGTGTTCGTTGCCAAAGGGTGGATTCTGGTGTTGGTCAGGGTTACCCGGTCACCCTTATGCCTCGCAGCACAAAATGACTCAAAGTCTACGCAAATAAAGTTGCGGAGGAGGTTAGTGTTCCAAACACCAGTCTTCATGAGTTCATTGATGTGGGTATTTTTTTAACTCGCTGTAAATGTACATGATTTAGTGCCCCTTCAGTGTGGAGGGATATACCAGATGCTCATCAGGATTGTAGCCCTTATGCTCAAGAATGACAGCGAAGAAAAGCTTAAATTGCTCGCCAATCTGAAAGAGTTACTGAGCTCTAAAGATTTCAAGGTATTATTTGCCGTCTCTGTACACCTCACGAGTCTGACTTATCATTCAATGTAGTCTACACTTCAAAACCGTCTGACCGCATGCATGCTTTCGCCCAACATCACTGCGTATGTGACAGACACACACCCACAGATCTTGGTAGGTCCTTTGCAATGGTATGAACGGACATTAAAGTGAACTGACACTGCGACAGAAATTTATCAAGGAACACCAAGAAGTATTCAAAGTTCCAGCAGCACTGTTTGAGGACGTGCAGCTCAACACTCTTTTCGCTAAGATCGTCAGCGACTCTCTCTCTACGATCCGTGGCAATATGAAGTCTAAGGTGCGCAGCGCCAAATTACAATGTCAAATTTTTCTGAGAATGATATTTGTCAGTTAACTGCATCTATTGCTAAACGCACTAGTATCACAGACGTCGCAAGGTCCCTCACTCACAGCTATATTGAAGTTGACGCAGCTCATTGGAACAGGCTCGCGTTTTTGGTATGTTTTTGTCGCATCAAATATTATATAGATAATAACCTCTCGAGACTAGCAGCGCTGCTTGCATGTCTACCTACTTGGCATCAGCAACTATAGGACCGTTCCCCTGAGTATTCTTTACTCCCCCCTGCTTATATCTTCTCTCCCAAAGGAAATCCGCGAAAAAATTGGACCACAGCTTGGCATCAATATCGACGAGATAGAGTGCAGCATGCTCAATGGTGATGCTGAAGAGGACGATGGTGGCGCCAATGCCTTCATCAATGAAAATGCAGCCCCCGGAACTGTCGGTAGCAGCAATGACCATGACGAGAATGAGAACATTAATGTGGATGTGGATTACAATAAGGACGACACGGACTTCGAGCTCAACACGGGTGACCCAGGGGACATTGACGGAGATGATTCGGTTGTCGTGGAGAAAGGCAAACCTGAGTCTGACCTCTACACACTAGGAAGATTTTGGAATTTTGTAGACTCGCTCGCAAGCGCCTGCAACGCTGCAAAGGAGCAAGCGATGGAAGACAAGGGTCCAGCATACGAGAAAGCATATAGCGAGTAGGTTTCTTGTTATGGTGCCTTGCGCTTTGTTGCTGATTATCATGAAGCATCCTTGTGCAGTATCTACAACAGGATCTTTCTGATTTCCCTGGAAATACCAAAGTTCCAACACTCCTCTCCACCAACCGCCCCCAGTGGCAACTGACTATTCAGAACAAACTCCTTTGGGCCCATGCTTAACGCTCGTTTATACTCTGCGGCTTGTGCATACTAAATCGGTGTTTCTATGCCATAATCATGCCTGTATCTACTATCCATCAGTAATGCAATGTTTTGTGCGGCTCATTTCATTTATTGCGTGCTTGATTCTCCCAACATTCAGAGTACCAGTGAGATCAGCCTGAGGATGGTGCGCAGGTGTCATCCAAGTATATTATATATCTGAGAATTGATGCGTGTCAGAGGTATCGAGCATATCTATACACGACATATGGAAGCCAACCTGTGTGATAGGTATGAACCAGATGTCTGTGCCAGGTGTGGTACAAGATATATTCAGAACCCGTCATTTCCCGTATAGACTAAAGCCCAGGTAGCCAATATGTTCTGAGTGTCTTGGAGACGTGTCTCGGTGGTCGTTAGTATATCTCTCAAACCCCGCACATCCTCGCTTCACTAAGGCTATAGTATATTTGTCTCCAATAGGTGGTGTGAAAGTCATATAATTAAGGTGGTGGAAATGTGCGCCACAGCTTACCATTTTTGGGACTGTACAACAGGGTTTCGGCACTCAGTAGTGTACTAATACTACGGACAAGTCGAGTGGCGAAGCCAGGCTGGTCGATCTCAGAGAAATTTGGCAGGAGGAGCGAGGAGTCTGAAATTTGACAGATGCCGGTGATGCCGGTTTAGGTAATTGTTGTATTTTGTACAGCATTGACACAAGTCCTTCATTCGCACCTTAAGCAAAGTATTGTACGCTTCTCAAACATCATAGTCCATCAAGCAACAGTACTTAACATCTAATAGGATGATACCTTTTCATGCCTTTCACCAGCCCATGCCACAATATCAGCCACCTGTTGAGCCTTTGATTTGGATTGTCAATCCTTCGAGCCTCGACATTGATGAAAAAATCCTTGCAGTCCTAAAAATCCTTTGTTGGCTTTGGATGTCAGTCATGGACCTCATGTTGCACTCTATCTCAAACAAGACCTCCATGCTACCTTGGAAAGAAGGTTTTTTTTCAAAGCAATGCCCTTGTGCAGTTTTTTAATGTGTTGAATGCTGATGAGTGAGCGAGCAACTTCGTGTCATTTTACAACCAATCACTATCGAACTTGCATGTCTACACACCTGGTCGTACAGCCAATAGACATGTGAAGGATCTCCTCCTTGATGGGAGCACTCACTTGAGATCAAAAGGATTTGATACATTCGTGAAGGGCTACACAGCATGGGTAAATAACAGTGCAGCATTTCCAGAGGAAGAGGATGTCATTGAGACTTTGATAATTTGAAATGCAGTCAAGTTGCATGAGTAGCATACAATATTTAGTGGTCCCATTCATGCCTATCAAATTATTGCTGTTTTCAAAACAGTTGGCACAGCCGCCGAAACACCACTTTTTCAGCCCTTTTGAATACATAGAATGAAACAATTGTTTCTCAACAACCACTGCTCCAAATGCTATGATTCTTTAATGAAAGATGATCTATTTTATGGTGCCCAGGGCATGCCAACAAAATCGGAGAAATTTGACCACTATCTCAGTATCTTGTTTTCATGGTGTTACTTTCTGCCTCACACAATTTTCCAGCAACAACAACCGATCCTCTCCACTAACAGTCATTCATCTGTTCATTATCTATTGTCTCCTGAGGGCACAGCAAAGAAATCGAGAGCTTTGAGTGTGATTTTCATCGTGTGAGCTTGCCATCGTTCACATCTCGTTTGTAATCACTCTCCATCTTCAACATGGCCAAAGGCAAGCCCATCAGCAAGGATCTACGCTGGACCATTGTATGAATGGCTCGCCTCATTGACCTGGATGCCATATCTACATACACTGATGTCAGCCGCTGCCAAATACTTCGGATCCTAGCATTGTTCAGAGCTACAGGCAAGGTAACAACAATGACGGACTGTCATAGGATTGGTCGCCACTGTCATTTGACTTCCAAAGATGTTGCAGTATGTACTAATGATTGCCTCAATACTTCATACTAATTTATTGATTTCAACAGTTCTTACATGGATCTCTCGATAAAACATGTGACAGCTACCTCGACGAACTCAAAGAAGGATTAGAGGAGATCTGTGGGGTGTCTGTCTCCATGCCCACAGTGTGGTGTGCACTCCAGAGGAGTGGATATTCTATGAAAAAGGTGTAACCTTTTGTGGTCTTGTTTTGCTTGTCTTGTGTTGCAATGGCTGACCACACTACTCCTTAGCTGACATGACAGGCAATCGAACACAGTGCAGAAAAGCGAGCTGCATATATTTACAAAGTTGGCCTGTGCTATAGACCAGACCAACTTGTTTTTGTAGATGAAAGCTCGTGTGATTGATGGACATCATATTGAGGGAGAGCTTGGTCAATTCGGGGTCGCCAAGCAGTGTAGAAGGCTTTTTTCATACGTGGCAATAGGTACACTACTATCTCTTTTGATGTATTTATTGATTCACTGTTTCCCATAGATACTCTGTACTTCCAGCTCTCTCTCTCGATGGTATCCTGCATGTCAGCATTATACAAGGCTCTTTCAACTACAAGTCCTTTGGTGAGTTTATTGAGGGTTTATTACTTCATACCAACCCTTTCCCTGGCCCAAATTCTGTAATCGTCATGGACAACTGCCAAATTCACAAGTCAGACTTGGTCCTTGAGATGATACGAGAAGTGTCAGTAATGCTATTTGTATTGTTAATTGAATAACCTTTGTTTTCCAGTGGTCGCCGCTATGAATTTCTCCCCCCCTACTCGCTGGACTTAATCCAATTGAACCAGCATTCTCTGCCATCAAATCACACATCCGCAGGCATGGCAGATTATTTAGGGCAGCAACAGAGTCCCAGAGTGACAGTCGAGCTGTTTTAACACAGCTGCACAATGCTGTATGGTCAGTAACTGCAACAGATGCTGAGGGATGGTTCTGTCACTGTATATACATGTAAACTTTTGAATCTGGGTCATATTATGAACTATAAACGAAATTTGAGTTGTATTAGTAGGAATCTGTAGAGTCTTCATGTTCAGTAGTGGATATCTAATGTGCACCATGGCGTGCCCTCTTTTCCCTCTTGGTGATCTTGTTGGAGTCGCTAGTTGCGTACTTGATCAGTAACCTTGCGATTCCTAATGGCATACCACACAAGTCTGCCAATTCCTTTGCACCATCTTTTCCGTCCTCGGCAATTTGAATGATTCACTTGTATCCACTGTTATCAAGTACACTAGCATACTGTCCCCACACCTGGCCATCAGCTCCACGCTTGCCTGAATCCAACTTGAACAGCCACTCCAGAACATGTGGGTAAATTGTTGGTGCATCATTCGGATCAAAAGAGTCTGAACTGGGAACTTTAAGATGTGAATGAGCGTGAGATGAAGAAGCTTGAGGTGTCGGTGTCTGTGGTGGATAGTGATGATAGTGTAGAGCTCCATATCCAGGTGGTGGTGGAGGTGGGTATGGATAATAGTATGGAAATGGATGAGAAGACATTTCTGGTTGAGATTGAGATCATTTATGGATCCTTGGTGGGCGGACTACATCCTCTATTTTCAGTTCACTGGGAGGATCCTTCAAGCTTGTGTGGACACCTTCTGTCTGTAATGTTATTACTCAGCGACCATTATAATACTTGATATATATAAAAACCAACCAATAACAGACTCCAAAGGCTAAGGTCCTTATTAGTCAAGTGACAATGACTTCCATTCAGAAGGATCACACAGTACTCGCCACTATGGTTACCACATGCATGTTCTGCTTGCAGTTCGATAATATATTGTGGCGCTGTTTTCTTCTTTGGTGCAATGTCTGTCTCATCACTATCTCCTGCTTGTTCAGAATCACTATCATCTTTCTTCGACTTCACCCTCTTCTGGCCATCTTTGCGACCACCCTGATGTTAGTTTCCAATCAGTAATTTGTGATATATCTCATTGAGGTTTGCTTCATCTTCTTCTTAACTTCGTTTTTTCCTCTTTTACCAGCATCACGATCAATGAGAACCACCTTGAACTCCTTCTGCTTTGCCTTAGATTTGGATTTTGCTTGCTCATTCAGCTCTTTCTGGGCAGCCATGAATAGTCTTGCAAGATGCACAGGTGTCTGGAGCATACAAGGCAGCTCTTTCTGCAGCATTGTGCTAAATTGGTATGCAAGATTCAGGTCTTTCATGTGAATACCCATTTCGTCGGCAACCTGGTAATGAAAGTCGGTCCAAGTGATATTGGAAGAGTATGTAGTGCTATCGGTTGCACCATCAATAGGGACCATAAATTCAAGATTGAAAGCACCTTGATATACTTTCAGCATGTTCAGTGACTCCGTAATGTGTATGTGACTTACTGTCTTTGTCCTCCTCATCTTCCTCGTCTGAGGACTCAGTACTGTTGCTCATAGCTTCTGGATCCAAGGTTACCCTGCCTCCATTCTCTGCATCATCATCTTCTGTGCCAAAAAAAAATTGTCATCATTTGTCTTGACTTCTGGCATATTACTAGGGTCAGGTTGCTCCAAGTCACAATACTCTTGATCCTCTTTCAAGCCATTAGAAAGACCAAGGAGTCCCTGGGTTGCTGTTAGAACATCCTGAGGCAATGAATCAATGTCCAGAGGTGATGTCACGGAGGTTTTTTTGCTGCCAGGCTTGCTGATGGGTTTTGGTTTTGGTTTTGGTCTTGGTTTCTGAGTTTCTGAGTCATGTATAACAGGAGGAGTTTTCGTTTTTTTCTCCTTGGAGGGTCTGCCAGCCTTGGTTGTCTTTGGTACTTTCTTGTCTTTGGCAGAGCCCATGGTTGTGGACAAGAAAGAGGTGCTGAACAGCTAGTTTGAACTATAATGTTTATACTAGTAGGCTGACAGACAGGGTCATCAGACACACTACTGCTACACGAACTCCACAGGCAGGTAGACAGTTGAGACACAACAGAATATGGAGCTAGGATGATGTGCACATTGTTCAGAATCAAGCAATTTACTGCATGAAGCTTCAGGATGTCATGGAATAAAATATGATCTCAACAGTCCTAGTAATGTGCTCACAAGACGGATTTTGCACCAAAAACTCTGGATTTTGTTGCTGTGCCCTCAGGAGATAGTACCCAATGAACAGAAAAGTGACTGTAGGTTGAGCAAAGAGCTTGTTGTTGCAGGAAATTTCGTCAAGTCAGAATGCGGCCCCATGAAAACAAGATACCAAGATAGCAGTCAAATTTCTCCGATTTTGTTGGCATGCCCTGGGCACCATAAAATAGATCATCTTTCATTAAAGAATCATAGCATTTGGAGCAGTGGTTGTTGAGAAACAATTGTTTCATTCTATGTATTCAAAAGGGCTGAAAAAGTGGTGTTTTGGTGGCTGTGCCAACTGTTTTAAAAACAGCAATAAATGCCCTTTTCTTTGGCCGTGGGTTTGGTGATTCAAAAACAGATTCAGAATGTGGATGTTGAACAGCAGCAGAAAGAGGAAGATTGAGATCTGGTGTTGCACACTGACTGGACTGCGGAGACGATGTGGGGCTGTATGAGTTGACTAGTGTTGTGTCAGTGTCATACAAGTCAGAGGTAGTCTTGATGAGAGACGGGATGTGGTCGGCAAGGACATGAATGTCAGGAAGGTGTTGCTCTGGTTCGTCATTCTCAGACTCCAGCTCAAATGGCATCTGATTGGAGGGGAGAAGTTTTTTGGATGCTCATGTGGGCTTTTTTGGGAGGGACCTGTTGTAACTGTCAATGGCACTGTGAACCTGCTCAGCATAGGAATTTGCCCATTTGCTGCTCTCCTCCAGAAACAAGACCACATCAGCAGTTGATTCAAAAGCAGCCTCTTCTTCTCGTGCGAGCTTGCTTATACTCAGATCAGAAAGAACCCATTCATCCAGCTAGCTTTGAGTGACGACATCATTGGAAAGGGCACTCTTCCGCCAGGCTTGGAGCAGTTCTTCCAATGGTGGGCGCTGCTTTGTTGGACAGTATTTTTTGCATGTCTTCTTGGGCTGGGCTTGTGGATGAACACTGCTTGTTTCTGATTTGAGTCTAACTTGCAGAGCGATTGATGGTAACATTTTTCCAGGCAGAAAGTAGTTGATGTTTGAGGTTGTATCAAGATGCTGGTCGCAACAAAATGTGCTGTTGTATTCGAAAGCTGCACTACCAGTGTCAATGCTCGGCTCAGTGAATAATCTCTCTTACCTTCAGCTGTTGTGTCACTATTATATTCAGCTAGGAATTGTTGATGACATGTAGAAGTGTTCACAGAGTCAAGCATAGCAGGATTGGTACATCGCTCTTTTGCTGTGGGTTTCCCTTTGTGCAAGACTTGAGCATCAATGGTGATCTTGTATGCCCACTTTTCCACAATCATCAAGACATGACAAGGCTTCCAGTCCTGTCCCCCTCGTCCAGTGCATTGTTCATGCTCAGAGATGTTGATAGTGATACCGAATTGGACCACGAGCTGTATGTCACAGACATTGATTCCCTGGAATGAGGTGAGCACATTAGCTATCAATTAAATTAAATGTCATCCAGGAACAGTCACAGTGGATGCTCCCGAAGTTGCAACTATGCCCTGAACAAGTCTATCTGGCTTTTGGAACTCGTTGAACACCATTTTGTTGTGTTCCATGGACATGCTGGAATGGAGGTGCCAAAACTTGAATACATGTTGAACTGCCTCAGGTAAACGAGTATTGAGGTATCTTGCAACAACTGCAGTACTGAGTTTGTGATCTATGAATATGAGGGACTTTGGAGGATAAGACATGGATGGATGAAACAGCTTGGATACAAGAAAATCGAGGTTGCTGAAATTTTTGATGGAATTGACCATGGGAATCACTGCATGACTGACATTGGGGCGGTTGGTGGTAAGCATAAAAGTATCTGTCAGATCCCTAGGAAGATTCAGAGATTTGATGATCTGCTGGAGCATGTCTTGAGGAAGAGTTGCTGAGAAGAGGGCGACAAGAACATCGACTGGGAGTTCTAGCAGTACTTCAGCAAGCTTCTCTCCTGGCTTGGGCTCTCCAGCTGTGACAATAAATTGTGCCTTGTCAATGAAAAAGAAACCAATTCATTTGATGAAATTCTGGTCCTTTAACATCAGTGCAAGACGTGGAATATGACCACCTTCAGGAAAAAATTGCTTGGGTGCAACAATGAGGTTATAGAAAGCTCCTGTGTACACACACTGGAGGAGAATATCACATTAAAGTCATCTAGGACAATGACTGCACATACATTCCAAATATTCTTGTCAGATGGAGTATCATGATTAATCGTGATCAAAGGAATGCCGTACTGCTCAAACTCCTGAACCTGTGATTCACAAGGACAAATTTGTTACGCCGAAGTATAATGCAGGCAAACAATAACCAATAAGACCAAAGGTCTGTCGATACGTTCAAGACAACAGTCTTAAGAATGCCCTAAGTCAAGTATAGACTAAGTACCGAAGAGGTAACTTAGAATCAAGTCAGATGTTCAGAGGAAAACCAGCGTAGGTTAAGCTGAAGAATCAGCGTCACCTAGCCAGGGTTTATATAGTCCAGAGGGTACAGGGTATGACATAATAATAGGTATGTATCAGTAAGCACATGCGTAAGCAATGAGGTGTCTGAGTAATACCGAACTAAATATAGCATGATAAGAGACATGCTTAGAAAGCATGGATCAAGGGAAAAAGAAGCAAGATAAGCACAGCCGTAACATCACCCCCTTCTTACATGGAAAGTCCCAGACTTTCACTCAAGACCATGACGCCGATCCTCCTCAGTTCCTCCGAGCCCGTCAAGGGCCTCAAAGAAACCTTGTTCCTCCATGAGAGTCAACGTCAATTGTTGAAGCTTCTCTTTGATGTCTCGAATACTATAGTCGAGAGAGAAGAGCTCGTCTTCTCTGTACTCAGCATTGTGCCTTTCCAAGGTATTTTCGAGACGATCACCGAGATGATAGAGGTCGTAAAGGGCGTTAAGTGCGGGATCAGTGTCGATGGCGTCTTTGATGGGGTTCTTGAAAAGTTTGGATGACAGCATAATCCTATGGCGAAGTCTACGATCTTCGAGATCGGGCAAGTAGGGGTCAGTCGCTACTTTCCAAGGAGCTGCTCGTCGACGAGCTGCAATACGCTCACGAGTTCTGATCGTAGTGGGGCTGGTGTGAGTGTCAATAAAAGTGGGGATAACGGGTTCGTTAAATATTTGGTATGGGGACGACACTCTAGAGTTGGGTATGGGAGATGTCGGACGAGGGGGTTCAGGGGAATTCCTTTGACTAATAGTCATATAATGGGGACGAGGAGAGAAGATGGGGAATCTAAGATTTGGGATAGGAACATTAGGAGCACTGTTGTGCGTGATGACGAGGTTTATATCCTCGTCGTTGGAGGAGATGTAGTTACGTCCACCGGTAGAGGGCATGGTCTGAATGGTTTGGTGATAATAGTTCGAGTTGAGAGGGGAATGAGTCGATGTGCCTGCTTATATCTGTTCAAGATTTCAGCGGAGTTGGCTAAATCAGACTCCGACAACCATTCATTATCGGCCGATGGGTAACCTTTCCATTTGACAAGGAAGCGTCGTCGTGAGAGAGTTCCTTTATGTCCGAGGATAGCTTCTACCTCATGTTCTTCTTCTCCAGTCAATTAGATCAGGAGGTGGCAATGGGAAATTAGGACCGTGTTCTTCATTTTCGCGATAGGGGGTTAGAAGCGCTGCGTGGAATACCGGATGAACACGCCATTGGCTAGGAAGTTTTAGGCGGTATGTGACTGGTCCGAGGACTTCCGAGATAGTGAAAGGTCCTTCTCTTTTGGGTGCTAATTTCCTATTGGGGTAATTGAGATGAAGGTTCTTTGCTTCTAGCCAAACCTTGTCGCCTTTTTTGAAGGGTGTGAACGATCGGGTGATTCTTTGCCTCATGGTTTGTCTAGCGAGTTCATGTGATGATAGGGCTTCTTCTCAAGCTTTCTGGAGTTCTGATATTCTCGCTTCGACGGCTGGGAGATCCGATTTCTCGGTAGCCAATGGTAATGCTTGAGGGTGATATCCCATCATGAGATAGAAGGGAGAAGCGTTACGAGCGGAGTGATGTCGGGAATTGTGTACGAATTCTGCCATGGGAAGTTTTTCTGACCATGAGGTTTGGTCGTTCGCACAGAAGATGCGGAGATACACTTCTAATTCTTGATTTACTCGTTCTGTTTCTCCATCTGTTTGAGGGTGGAAGGCAGTGGAGAGCGCGATTTTGTATCCGAGAAGTCTTCCTAGTTCTTGTGCGAACTTGGCTGCAAATTGAGGTCCTCTGTCAGAGATGATTTTATCATAGAGTCCAAAGCGTGTATAGACGCGGTTGAAGAATACGTCAGCGACTCCTTCTGCATCAATCGTCTTGTTGCAAGGTGTGAGCACCACCCCCTTCATAAGCCCATGGTCTACCATGACCATGATTGAATCGAAACCATTGGATGGGGGGAGGTTGACAATGAGGTCAACGGAGCATTGAGCAAAGGGGCGGGAAGAAGTAGGGGCGGGAATGGGACAGAGCGGTGGTGAAGTCGGGTGGGTGTTGACTTTATTCTGTTGGCAGACGGCACACCCCTCCACGTATTTGCGCACGAAGGTCAGGAGGCCAGGCCACCAGTAGTCGTGAGACAGGATTTCCTGAGTTTTAAAGCATCCAGGATGTCCGGCAGTCGGGGAGTCATGATGGAGGGAAATTAACTCTTTCCGCAGGGGGCCAGGGGGAACATAATTGCGACCTTTGAAGGTGAGGATAGCATCAGAGAAGGTCCAATCAGAAAGTGCAGATTTCATAGGGAGGGGTAGGGTGGGATTGGAAAGAGCGTCTATGGTTTGTTGTACGACTGGGTCCACCGAAGAAGAGATATGAAGTTTTTCATGCATAGAGGTATCAATGAGGTTGATGAACAACCCGTCTGGTAGGACTGTAACGTCAGAATTGTTGGTAGCATTCGCGGGGATGTGATCCGGTCGGCGGGAGAGAGAATCGGGAATGGAAAGATCTTTGCCAGGTACGTGTTGGAGTTGTAGGTCAAAACGAGATAGGAATAAAAGCCAACGAGCTTGTCGACAGTTGAGTTGTTGGGCTTGTCAGAAGTAAGTCAAGTTCTTATGGTCGGTCATTACAAGAACTGGGAATGGGGAACCTTCAAGGTAGTGACGCCAAGCCTCTAAAGCTCGAATGATGGCTAACAGTTCTCGGTCAAAGATCTGATAGTTTCGTTCTGCAGGGGAGAAAGTTTGAGAAAGGTAGGAACAGGGATGCCAATCACCATTGGAGTCCTTCTGAAGGAGTACTCCTCCAGTTGCATAGAGAGATGCATCTACGGTGATAGCGAATGGGGTATCTTTGTCGGGAATGGAAAGTATGGGAGCAGAGAGGAATCGGTTCTTTAGGTCAGTGAACACTTTATCGCACAGTGGTGACCAATCGAAGATGGAGTCTTTCTTTGTAAGATCAATAAGTGGTCGTGCGATGGTTGAATAGTCAGCAATGAAATGACGGTAGAAGTTGGCGAATCCCAGGAATGATCGAACTTGTTTGACAGTAGTGGGTTGTTCCCATTTGACTACTCCGTCTAGTTTGACTTTGTCCATACAAATTTGTCCAGGACGAATGAGGAGACCAAGGTATTCGACTTTGGTAGTGTCGAAAACACATTTTTCAGGTTTAAGGGAGAGCTGGTGATCGTGAAGTCGTTGTAGTACTCGCATCGTGCATTGGTGATGGGATTCAATGTCTTTGGAGAAGATTAAGATATTGTCCATATAAATGACCATCCAACCTTCGTCTATCATGTCCGAAAAGATGTCGTTCATCATTGCTTGAAATGTTGCAGGGGCATTACATAGACCGAAGAACATAACCGTTGGTTCGAAGAGTCCTCTAGACGTTTTGAATGCTGCTTTCCATCTATCTGGACCGTGAATTCTGACGTTGTTGTATCCTGCGCAAACATCCATTTTAGTGAAAATTGTTGCGCCCTTTAACTTGTCGATGAGGTCGGGAATGCGAGGAAGCAGGTATGTATCTTTTACGGTTGCATCTTTTACGGTTGCATCTTTTATGGTTGCATCTTTTACGGTTGCATCATTGAGTCTTCTATAGTCTTGACATGGGCGAAGGGATCCATCTTTCTTTCCTACGAAGAAGAAGGGAGATGCTTGTGGGGATTGAGACGGTACAATAGTTCCTTTTGCCAGGTGTTCGTCTACAAATTCGTTCATCGCCTTTTCTTCTGGTGCTGACAATGGGTAGATTTTGCAAGAGCATGGTTCGAAGTCTGGTTTCAGTTTTATTTTATGGTCAAAGGGTCGAGATGGGGGCAGGGTGTCCATAGCTGCTTTGTCGAAAACGTCTTTGTACATATGAAAGACTTCAGGTACGAGTTCTTCAAATGTCTTAGGCTTTTCTTTTGCGTAGGCCTCTTGAGCTAGTTGTTGAGCGACATTGGCAGCCTTTCGAACAGGAAGAGGGGCAAACATGAATCGAGCGGAGTTTGGAACTTTAGAGATTCTGTTTGTTCGGGATATGAAAGAGAACGTGGGAGGGATATGTTCTTGTGTGAGTGGTGAATCGAAGTTAATTTTTTCGTATACTCCCACGAATTCTTCTCCTTTGACGTAAGCGATAAGAACTTCATCGTCTTGTAGTTCTTCTATTATTTCTTCTTCTTCTTCTTTGGGTAGAAGTTCCGGTTGTTCCTTGGGAATTTCTTCCAAGGATATGTATGCTTCTTTGTCTTTGATTTCTTCTATTCTTGGTTGCATAGAAGCGTGTTTGTTTCTGTCAGAGATAAGGGTTTGAATCATGATTGGGTCTTCTTCTAGCGAGATTTCGCTTTTAGCCCAGTCTATTGTTGGATTTTCGTTTTTGAGCCAGGGAAGTCCGAGGATGATGTCTTCGCCTCCAAGGGAGGTGATAAGGAAGGTAGCGAACATAGTTCGGCCTCCTGCTGAGAAGAATAGATTGCAGGCCTTGTTAATAGTTCCTGCTTTGTTCTTTGTTCCATCCACATTCCGGACTTCGATTTGTGAAGAGAGATTGTGAGTTGAGAAATTGTTCTTTCGTACATATTTCCAGTCAATGAATGTTCCAGCGGCGCCCGAGTCAATTAGGGCAGCTGCTTCGGCGGTTTTATCGGACTTGCAGGATTCGATCGAAATAGGAATGTGCATAGAATTCGAATCGCCTACAGAAGATACAATGAGTCCAATAGATGTACTAGGGGTTTCCGACGCCGGTCCGGTCTCCCCATTTAGAAATCCTTCTTAGAAGAAGAAGGTACTTTCGACGCTTTCCAAGCTTTCCAAGCGAGGAATTCCTGATACTCTGCGTCTTGATCGTCTTGTTCGATCTTAGTCTCACGGACTGGTCGTCCGGCCGGCTTTTGCCAACTGGGAGCGGATTCTCTGTGGTTAGGGCAATCCTTCATAAGCCCTTTCTTTCCACACTTGAAGCAGAGTCCCAATTTGTGACATCTGTCTTGTTCCGACCGAGAGAGTTGAGTGTTACGAACTTGAGTTGTTTCTTCATCGTCAATGTCAACTTTGTCTATGTCCATTGCGTACAGGTCGTTTTTCTTTGAGAACCCTCCTCCGGAGTTCATGAGTAACCTTCTAGATTCATATTCTCTAGCGGCTTCAACCCATTCCTTGATATCGGCGGGCATCTTTTCCCTCATAAGGATTGCTTCTTGGACTTCTTTCTTGAGCCCTTGTCTGAAGCATGTTGTTTCAACGTCTGAGTCTACGCATTGAGCTTCTGCCGAGATTCGCTTGAAATAGGCAATATATGCCGAGATGGTGGAGGTTTGCTTTGCTCTCATCAACATGTTGACGGCCGTGAGTGTGTCGTTCTTAGGGAAGAACACTGCTTTGAATTCAGTGATGAATTCGTCCCATTTTCCCATAGGGGTGTCGGTGTCGTGTTTCCTATTAATCCATCCTGTGGCCCATTGCTGAGCATGTCCTTTAGTGATAAACGACGTTGCGAATGTGATGCATTTTTCATGGTTGTCGTAAATGTTCTTGTTTACGGTGATGTATGTGGAAACGGTTGTCCACCAGGCTTTGGCCTGTTTCTGTGTTCCGTCGAAGTTAGGTGGTCTGTTCAAGTTGAGTTCACCCATTTCTTTAAGTGGTTCAGATGGAGGAGGCGGAGTCGGGAATCTAGGTGGTGGGTTCGATGGTCCTGGTTGATCAGGTCCGTATCCTGGTATGTATTCGTTCTCTAGTTGGATAGGTGATCCTGGTTCAGAAAAGTGTTCTGTCTCTTGTTCCGACTCCGAAGAGTATTGTCGTTGTTCTCTATAAGCCACAATGCTTCGTGACCGTGACAACTACTAGGGTAGCATCGTCTTGTGATAGAGCTTAACCTTTTGTTACACCGAAGTATAACGCAGGCAAACAATAACCAATAAGACCAAAGGTCTGTCGATACGTTCAAGACAACAGTCTTAAGAACGCCCTAAGTCAAGTATAGACTAAGTACCGAAGAGGTAACTTAGAATCAAGTCAGATGTTCAGAGGAAAACCAGCGTAGGTTAAGCTGAAGAATCAGCGTCACCTAGCCAGGGTTTATATAGTCCAGAGGGTACAGGGTATGACATAATAATAGGTATGTATCAGTAAGCACATGCGTAAGCAATGAGGTGTCTGAGTAATACCGAACTAAATATAGCATGATAAGAGACATGCTTAGAAAGCGTGGATCAAGGGAAAAAGAAGCAAGATAAGCACAGCCATAACAAAATTTGACATTTTTAAGGTGATAAAATTGTATATTTGCCATACATGATCACGCTGCAGCAGTTTCAAAGGGGTGAAAGTGATGGCTGTCTTGTCCAGAGAAAGAAGTAAAGGCAGAATCATTGCGAGGGTCTTTCCGGAGCCTGTTGCAGCTCAAAGTACAATGTGTCTTGCAGAAAGTAATGATATGAGGCATCTGAGCTGGAACAATTTCAGATGTTGTGATCCTTGGGAAAGAAAATTGAGTTGCGAGAAGGCCTCGAGAACTTGCTGGTGTTGTATTGTTGAAAGGGCACTTGTAAAGTCCATTGGGAGATTTTCAATCATGTCTTGAGCAGCGAGTGATAAAGGTCATACAGAACTCATGGTTGAAACTTAACATAGCATATAGTCTGAGCGAGAGCAGATGTGTAACTTGTAAGTACTGTATGATTGCAAGTACCTCTGGCATCACTGGCATCTGTCAAATTTCAAACTCCTCACTGCTCCTGCTAAATTTCTCTGAGATCGACCAGTCTGACTATGTCAAGCACTTAACAATCTCAAAGATGTAGTCCAGACTGATTATGAGTCTAGCTACAGGTTGTGTAAGTGTCTGTGGCATTTTGATAAATGTCCACACCAGAGAAGTTGACTTTTTAGAGTAAACTTTTGGCTTAGCACAGAAAGAGCTGTCAGAACTAAACTGTTGTTACTCAGAGAGGGAAAGGATCAACTGTCCCTCTAGCACTATGTAAACTAGCTTATATAGGTAAGGAGAGACTTGGGTAAATAGGGATAAAGGAAACAGAAGGAATAACTAAGAACAAATGGGTGATGCTGATAATGCATACAGATATTGGTAGCTAGGTACAATGTCTGTGTGCTTGGCTTTTGACGAGTGTTACATATGCCCTCCAGGTCTCAAGATGGAGACCTGTTTTCTTTCTTGTAAGCGAGTGGCTCTAGCTAGTAGAAGTTATGCCCATTGAGTTCATGGCAGCTAGCAAGAGGATCATTGTCAGGAGGTTTGTTAGGACAAGGCCAGTAATAAGGGCTCTACCAAAGAAGTCCTCATTAGCAACACCATGGAGGTGGGTGCTATGCCTCAAATCAAGCTCTTCAGCTCTCACAATGATGTCAAGGACATCAGGGCCAGAATCCACAGTGGGAGCGGTATCAACAGGGACAGGGTTAGGATTATTTACAGGGGTGTTGATGGCATCCACAATGATTTGAGAGGTAGTCATGGGAGCAGGAGCATGTTGCTTAATTGCAGGGGTATGAGATTGTTGGTTACTGTAGCGCTTTTGTCTCTGATTATCTAGAGTGAGGTGGTGGTTGTGCTGGAGTTGACTGGAAAGTCTCTTTTTGTGGTCTGCTTTGACCTGGGCAGTAAAGGTGTATGCCTCCTTTTTAATGGCTAGTTCCTCTGCAAGGCGAGAGGCTGGTACATAAGGGGGCTGCAAGAGAGGGGATTGCCTAGCATAAGACTTACTAGCCTGAGCCTCAGCATGAAAGAATCACAAGAAGACGCTCATAGTGTCATCGCTCGATTCGCAATGGTAGGAGCGATTGGGATTATCACCATGGTTATGGTGGTGATGCCCACCTTGACCACCATGGTTAGGGGCATAGGTATGGCCACGAGGGGGGTTGTGTGAGGGGACTTCACCCAGTTCTGCAATGTAGTTTGGGCTATTGACATTTATTGCATTGGGGGATTCTGTGGATCTTGGGCCCAAGGGAGAGTGGGGAGAAGACATGGGGTGAGGAAGAGAAGGGTCTGGTGAGGTTGGTGAGGACCGATCAAGTCCTTTTGAGTCCTGGGACCCTGAGGTGCTGTGGGGAATTCCCCCACTGTAGGCATAAAACCCTGTCCTTTCCGCATCATCTCACATCAGTTCTGCATATTCCGCACGTTCCGTGTTTCCCGCGCATCGTCCGATGGGTTCCGCATTCCCATGCATCCTTCTGAACCTGCCCGCACTATCCGATATTCCCGTGCATCATTGGACAACCTTTGCATGTCCTGTCCCCATCCTTCCAGGTCCATTGGTACGCTGTATCTCTCTTCCCATTGTTCCTAATGTTATCTGGATCAAATTGACACATGCCCTTATGGCACGGACCCCTATTCCGGAGTATTGCACCCTTGTGCACTGCCTGCCTTCACTTCCACTTCCTGAGAACTTACTACCTGTACCTCAGTGTTCCTTGAAAATAATCTTCCCTTTAAGTAGTGGTACTCAGGGCTTGGGGGTGTTTTTATCAAATCCAATCTTTTACCTTCCCACTTTCCCTTCACCTTACTAGAGGACTGCTTTGACTTATGCCCACTATCAATCTAACCTTGTGATATACTTCCTTCAACTTGACCTGCAAGTTCCGACGACTCCTTACGTTCCGCATTGTATCCAGTTGAGTTCTGCTTCATTCCGTTCCATTCCGCTTGGGTTCCACTTGAGTCCCACTTGTTCTGCTTGAGTTCCGCTAGTTCTGCTAGTTCTGCTTGTTCTGCATTTTTGTGGATCCTCATCCTACCTGCGGTAGGGTTGAATAGGGTCGCTTAGACAGAGATTAGCACTCCCCAGTAGCAATCCCCTTTAGGGTCGAACGTGCTTGTTCTCAAGTGAGGCAGTAGGCAGCAAAGACCCAACTTTGTAGTAGATTAATTTCTCTCTGCTGCACTTGTTGTACCCACAGCGCTGACAGGTGTGACAGCAGGTGACTTGGCCAGTAATCTGTTGACATTATTGAGGACAAGTCTACTAGCCTCAAAGGGGGTGTTCACAGTGGCAACACTGATATTGGGCAGATCTGGTGCGGCCTTTCTGGGTAGATCTTGAATACCAGGTACCCCAAGAGCCTCCAAATACTGTCCAACAGCTTTGATTTGTGAAACAGAGTGGTAGGGGAGCCAAACGAAGTCGCCCATTGAGTACTCAATTTTGAATAAGGCATTTGGGCCCTGTCCATGGTGATCTATCACTTGTGTGACGGACAATTCCTCGGGTGTGCCTATGTTGCTCATTTGGCAAATTTGTTGTCCCGGGAAACATCGATCATCATTGGGGATATGAGGATGTAGGAGGCTCATGTGAAAGGCTGGGTGGATTCCTCGCTTTTTTAGGTCGGCAGGGAGAGATCCAGTAGTAAGGAATTGTTTTTATAATCCTCAATAATTTTGAATGGGCCCACATATTTTGGGGTGAGCTTGCATGCTTGTCCCTTGGGGAGTGCCGAGTATGTGCCCCAACTTTGGAGCGGGTCTGACAATGTCCGACGATAGGATGGGCAGACCGCTTTGGTCCACTTTGTGGGCCAGGAGGTAAAATGCTACTAGCAGTGATCTGACTAGAAGCAGAGCGGGTGAAGTGGAGAAAGTGCGTTGGGATGAAGAGGAGTAACAGGATTGGTTGGTTGGGTCAGAGAGGTAAGAGTGAATACTTAGAGCATGGCTCTAAGTTGGAGTGGAGGGTTGGAGGTGATGACAAGGTAAACTTGTGTCCAGAGAGAGCAAAGTCCTATGGAGAATTCCCACTAGTAGAGACTGTGGGAAGATGAGTAATTTTAAGACTGAGGAGTAGCTAAGTACATGGTATGTTTTTATATACTTCTACGTAGGAGGCAGTGACTAGTAGTCCTTGGTATGAGGCTATGTACTGAGCATAATTTGTAAGTAAACACAGGTGAAAAACATAAGTCGGAGCGGATATCAATATGTACACGTTGGATCAGTTAGTCGAGCAGTTATAGGAAGTACCGGTGATCTGGGAAGTAAGTTCTATGTATCAACGGAGAAAGTATATTCCTAATGGGGAAAGAGGTTCCAGTGGAGTGGAGATGATATGGAAGGTAACTGATGAGGTGGTCAAGCAGGAGCGTAGGGGCGGATGTCGGAGCCGACTGGCTTGAGCAGAGGGCAGATGGAGCGGAGGTGATAGGAAGGCAGGAGGGGTGTAAGGCCAGGCAGAGCGGATATTGATATTGTCAGAGCAGTTGGATCAGGTATATGACATCCCCACAGGTCACAATGGCTTCTCACCATCCTCTGTTTGACTTTGATGTTCCCCTCACATCCATCTTCAAATATATAAGATATTACTGTTTATTACTCATTGTGCTTAATACTACTTTTTTTCGCTTTTTTGGTGGTCTTAACTTGTGAGCTTGAGCACACCCTTAATTCACTTTTGCAAAAGTCTATTAAGTTGGAAAAGCAGCATTCTAAGTTGTTTTCACAAAAAATTAAGTAAAATAAGCAGGAAAAGCAACTGGTGGTTTTCCTAATGTATGCTACGAAAATTTCTTTATATCACTATGCTAACTACCTATAAAGTTACCAAGTCCCTCATTCATACATCTCAGTTCTTATCAAAGACTGAGATGTAAGCCTTATGTTCCCTGTGCTACTTATTATAAAGAGCTAACATACCCAGTAGAGAATATTTGTCTTAACAGGTAGTCTAGCCTATGGAGACTAGACAAAGTGTTAGCCTAATACAAATGTCTGTTAGTGTCTAGGTATGGTTCGGACATACGAAGAGCTCACCCTCAGTCGTGATGGAACAGACTGAGGGGAGAAGATGAGATGAAGGGATCTATATATGTTGGTTCATATTCCTATTATTCAACTCCACCACCAGCTTGTCATGTCGGCCACATGCATAGCATTAACACTCCTCCTTGATTTCTCACTACAAACTGAGGCATGTGCATAGACGCTCAAAGTCCTTTCGGGGAAGAGCTTTGGTAAAGATATTGGCGGTGTTGTTGATGGATCTGACATAGTGTAGCTTGAGTTGCCTGCGAGCGACTTGTTCACAAATAGAATGGACACCAATGTCGATGTGTTTGACCTTGGAATGGTAGGACACATCTTTGGAGAGAGTGATGCCACCAGTGTTGTCACAAAGGAGGGGAGTAGCTGATGGTTGAGTGAACTTGAGTTTGTGTAGTAAGGTGCGAAGCCATGTGATCTCTTTAGTGGCTTCGGATGCTGCAACATATTCAGCCTTGCAAGTAGATAAAGAAATAGTCTTTTGCTGACAAGCGCTCCAGGTGACCACGCCACTGCCTAAGGTGAAACAATAACCACTGATGGATCATTGTGTGTCGGGACAGTTGGCAAAGTCGCTGTCTGTGAAGCCTAGAAGTCGCGCTGGGTGCTCCCTGCCAAGGATGAGTTGAAAATCGCAAGTACCTTTGAGGTAGTGGACTACACGTTTGGCAGCATCCCAGTGGACGGGTCCATAGCAGTTGAGATGACAACAGAGTTGTTGAACAGTGTGTGTGATGTCTGGGCGCGTCCCGATGGCGAGGTACATAAGGGATCCAACGAGCAAGCAATATGGCATGCATGACATAAGTTCACATTGGGCATTGGTAGAAGGTGCATGAGTGTGACGGGAGAGGTGTAGGCCAGTTTCCATTGGCGTAGAGACAGGAGCAGCATCCTTTGAGCTGAATTGAGTGACAATTTTATCTATGAGAGCGGTTTGAGATAGACTGATGGTGCATGCAGTTCAATTATGTTTGAGACCGATGCCAAGACAGAAATGGGCCTCCCCAAGGTCAGACACGGTCCATTTGGTCTGTAGTTGATCCTTGAAATCAGAGATGGCAGCTCTTGTACTCCCAACAGTGAGAAAATTGTCCACATGAACTGCGACGAGGAGAATTCCCGCTGTCGTCCGTTGATAGTAGATGCAGTGCTCACATTTCAGGCACATAAACCCCCAGGAGATCATGGTGTCATTCATGGTCCGATTCCAGACGAGTCCCCCCTTGTTTCATACCATACAACCCCTTCTGAAGCTCCCAAACCCAGTCTTCCTTCCCCTCTTCTACAAAACCCTCTGGTTGTTCCATATAGCAAACCTCATCAGTCTCCAGTAGCCCATAAAGGAACATGGTTTTGATGTTGAGTTGGTCAATTTCCCAGTCCAAAGTGGCGCCAAGGTGAGTAAGGATATGAAAAGACTCGAGGCATGTGGTCGGTGCAGAAGTTTTAGTGTAGTCTTGCCCCCAGACAGCAGAGTAGCCACAGAAAACATAATGTGCTTTGAAGTGGATGGGCTTACCGTCTTGATCGCACTTGAGTTTGAAAACCAGGCGCCCACGCATTATTTTACAGCCAGGAGGGATCGCCGATTGAGGTACGAGCTTGTATACTCCAAGGTCATGCAGGGAATCAAATTCTTCCTTTAAGGCAGCGGTCCACTCAGGTGTGTTGTAGGATGCCATGGTGTCCGCATATGTGGTAGGGTCATCCACAAGCTCGTATTCAAGGTGGTCAGGCATTGCAGCAAATAGGTCAGCAAGGTTAGCAAGCTCCTCCTCAGACAGGAGAGGCGAGGTGTTGGCGGATAAGGCCCGTAGTCAATCAGCCACCACAAGAGAATCTAGTACAGTGTGCTGAGTAGGTGACATGTATGGCTTACCATCCATCATGCAGTGTCTTTCGAAAGGCTGCGGGATACACATAGAACATCGGGGATCCACCACGGCAGGAGCCAGTGGGGGGTTAGGGCCAGGGGCAGCATCAACATCCGGGACCTCCTCAATAGAGATTGAATGCGTAGGGGTAGGGGAATTGTCGACGTTCAGGACCTCCTTGATAGTGACTGAATGTGTAGGGGTGGGAGAGATGGGTAGTGAAGGAAGATTCATGCCGCACTGGTGTGACTCTATAAAAGAAATGTGATAAGAAACAAATAATTTGTGAGTTTTGCGGTGGTAACAGCGGTAAGTTTTCAAGTCA